GAATATAATTATAGAATAGTATCATACATTTTATAATTAAGTGACAAATGAGGATGAATTATCAAGTCGGTGAGAGCACTTCAGATAAAGGCAGCCTCCCTGCCAACAGTACAGAGGGGTCAGTGGCACAAGAACTTGTATTACAACTACAATACATGATTGAAATTAGTTAATACCAGATTTAAACATCCGCCGCTGAGAAAAGATTTATGTGCGTAATACTGACTCATTCACATTACACATTTTCGTCTCGGTGATTCAAACACGCTATTGTGATAAAAGTATATTAGTCAATTTATTTATTAATCAATTAAATTATAAATTATATAAATTTGAATGTATAATAAGGGGTAATTACATTGGTAAAAGTTTTACCCTGGGTGAAATAACTTGTGATAACATAACGTTGTAAGTTAAGAATGAACTGTAACTTGTTGAATGAAAATGACTTGAGTTAGTTTAACATCGTAAGATTAACCTTGTATATTAAACTTGGAAAGTGTGACATGGGTAAATTTAACAATGTGTATATTCCATAGGGTAGTCTAACAATGCGGAATTCCATTGGTGAAAGTGCTACCTTGAGTAAATTAACAATGTAATTGTCCCCGTGGCGTAGTGGTAAGACGCTCGCCTGGCGTTTCGCGAGTGATTTGTCCTGAGTTCGTATCCTGACCGGAGAGGATTGACTGGACGCCAATCCTCAACTATAGTCTCTGTTTAACCCAACAGTAAAATGGGTACCTGGTTGTTAAACGATTTGGCAAGTCGTATTCCGGGGAATATACAATTAAGGACCTGTCCGAAACGCTATGCGTACTAGTGGCTGTACAAGAATGTAAGAACTCTTGTATATATAAATAAATAAAATACTGTAACACTGTATTGCCTTGTCCGGCGGAGCTCCCTAAACGCCTGCAGGCCACAGCAGACCACTGACGCACAGCCCCCAACCCTGCAGGGCAGCCAACCAGGGCCTATAGCTGGTGGCGGCTGCATCCCAGGACGAGAAGGGGACAGATTCCAACTTGTGCAGGGGGAGGATCGAGGCGCCGCACTCTACATCTCGGCACCTATAGTTCGTGGCTCACCAGCGTGTTACTTCCTGTGCACCCACAGGACGGAACAAACTGGCGTCGCAGGTGGACCCACGGCAGTGCTCAACAGGGGACGCCTCAATAAGGGCACGACGCCTTAGTTAGTTTAGTTCATTTATTATGCACCAGCGAGTATATGTAGTATAGTTTCTATAGCATAATATAGAGTATGAGAATAGTATAAGAGTATAATATATCAGCGAGTATAAGAAATATTGCCGGAACAACCGTGGACATCTTCAAGAGAAAACTAGATAGTGCCGAACCATCCAGGCTGCGGTGGATATTTGGGCCTGCGGGCCGCTCCAAGCAGCCTGTTGGACCAAGCCCTCACAAGTCAAGCCTGACCTCGGGCCGGGCTTGGGGAGTAGAACTCCCAGAACCCCTTCAAGCAGGTACCCCATCCTGTGGACGGTAGTGGAAAGTGTTACAGAGGCGCATTCATTTAGCTAAGCAAGTTACAGTCTTGATGAGCTAGTTACAAAATTCAATGCACATCGTCACATCAACAATGGGCTCGAGACCGACCACAAGTACAGTTTCTAAATTAAGGAACTGACATATGTGGAGAACTAGTGTCACAACTGATATGTTTGTCCTTGCCTAACCCCCATTGATTGGCACTCCATTACCTTAAATAGTGACCCTACAGAGCAAGCACGAGTTAATAACAATAATGCAACTAGTTTCAAGATAAATGTCTTTATCAAGAAATTTGCAAGGGGAAATATAGTATCAGAATGTAGCAAATTTCAGAGGAAATAACTTGACCATGTAGATAGTTTCAGAGGAAATAACTTGACCATGTAGATAGTTTCAGAGAAAATAACTTAACCACGTAGATAGTTTCAGAGGAAATAATGTGACAATGTAAGGACTCCAGCTCCCAGGCTAATGCGGCTCACCAGGCTTGAATGACACATCAGAAGATGGCAGCGAAACATACAGAACCAGTGATCACCTCGGATGATAGGGAACATACAGAACCAGTGATCACCTCGGATGATAGGGAACATACAGAACCAGTGAATACCTAGGATGACAAGAATCATAAATAAATAAATAAGCAAACCTATGCATAACTCAACGTGTCCCCAGGTTAGGCTTGTCCGGGCGGCGTCAGAACCCAAAGCAGAACAGAATTAATTGTTGACGGGGAGGGACGGGTTAGTTGCAGCTTCACAGGCTTCGAAGCACTCGAGCCCCCTCTCCCACCCCCTCTTCCTATCATAATTATTAATTATTACTCCTGATTATTAATATTATTATCCTCTGCCACTTGAAGTAGGGTGAACATACAGATTACGTCAATTATAAAAGCTTTAATGCCGATTTTATAGCTAACTATCTGGGATACCCAGCTGGGCCCAGTGTCTCTTTCTCTATCTCTCCCCTTCTCCCCTCTTTTATCTCCCTGTTCATATCCCTCCTTTACTCCCCTCTCCTGCAGACGATGAGTCACAATAACGTGGCTGAAGATATGATGACGGAAACGTTTCGGTCCGTCCTGGATCATTATCACAATCGACTTGATAATGGTCCAGGACGGACCGAAACGTCGTCGTCTCTTCATTGTCTAGTGTATGGATTAGTCATCATCCCTCCCCCCCCTCTCCTTCTCTCTCGCAACATCATCCCCTCTCTCACCTCTTCCCCCTTCTCCCGTCCTATTCACCTTCTTGTCTTCCTTCTCCTCCCATCTCCCTATTTTTTTCAATTATAATTATAATTATAATTTATAATTATAATTATAATTTATAATTATAATAATCATATATAATAATAATAATTATTATAATTATATAACTACGTGAAACACGACTATATGTGCCCTGTGAGTGTAGCTCGCGAATCTACCTGAGTCTCCCCCAGAGTTATCCCAGGTGACCTGATCGCCTTTATCACAAGAGTACAAATATGTAATAAGTGCGGATAAGAGAACCCTCATTAACATTCACCAGTTTACTTATGGACAAATACATACAAACAACATACAAGCCAATACCACATACAACGTACAATCCAGCACCACATACAACATACAATCCAGCACCACATACAACATACAATCCAGCACCACATACAACGTACAATTCAACACCACATACAACATACAAGCCAATACCACATACAACGTACAATCCAACACCACATACAACATACAATCCAGCACCACATACAACATACAATTCAACACCACATACAACGTACAATTCAACACCACATACAACATACAATCCAACACCACATACAACATACAATCCAACACCACATATAACATTCACACAATATAATGATCAGTAAAAAAAGGTCCAGTTGTGCAGGATCTACAATAATATTAAAGTACAGTGTATCACTGACAAATGATTCAGTATTCCACTGGGTACTCCTACAATGGTATCTCATTATACACATAATTCAAGTAAATAATTAATTTGCCAGAAAATAAGTCTATATATTATAACAACTATGGCGGATCTGTACTGTGGTGATTTAAACTGTGACTACTACGGGTATAACTGAATTCTACTTTCTTATAAAGTTGTGGACTGGTTTCGATAACACGTTCATAAAGCCACAACCCTCATTTTATTTCAAACTTCAAGAAAATTGCAGAGGTCGCTGTAAATGCCGATATTTATTAAAGGGTGGCACTAGGGCCGACCCCGACTGGCCTCTGACGTTCCCATATCCCCTATGATTCATCTTCGAAAATTGGATGAAGCTAGCCTAAAGAGTCTGCCCTCCCGAACCTCAGACTCACAAACAAACTATATTTTGTATGTCAAGATGAACCTCTCACGCCCCGAATTAACTTTGGAAATATCCTTAATACGGCATTTTTAACATTTCGGAGCCGTTAACTATTATTATAAAAGAACAGTACATGCATGGAACATTTATCCATGCATGTAATAGTAATAGGGCTAGTGAATTGTCAGGGGGGAAAGCGCTAAGCCATTACCACTATATAGCACTGGGAAGGGGTCAGGATAAGGATTTAGGATGGGACGGGGAGGAGTAGCCTAATCCAATTTTCGTCTCTATCACCTTCCGATTGTCGCTTATCTCTCTGGGTTATCAGACTTTGGTTCTCACCCAGCGCCTTCAGATTTGTCTCTCACTCTGGGTCATCAGACGTGTCTCTCACCAACCCATCCTTCTGTTTAAATAGTTATTTTTGCGACTATGTGGGCCATCGTACATACATAGACTTAATTGATAATAAGACAGTAGAATTTGCTACTATTCACTTTATAGTTCGGCAAAAAATAAAGCTAAAAACCAAAATTAAATATCCCTAAACCTAATATAGCTCAAAAATGTACTATATTAGACCTGAGATAGCGTGTATTAGAGCTAGGAAGGTTAGGTTAGCTTACGTTTATATGCAAAATCAATACAAAAACTTTTCCGGTTTGTCCAAATTCAATAGTACCGATTTCTACTTTCCAATTGTCTTTTTTACATCAATATATGTTCGAATGGTCCTCATCGTTGCTATAAGTACCATCTAAACAGGAAGACGGGCTGCTCTCACCCTAGCTAGGTCTTCAGACCTAGCTCTCAGACTCTTCAGATCACTCTCTTCACTCTTCACTCTCAGACCTCATAGGTTAAGTAATAATTGTAATTACGAAGCAATAAGATGCTTATCTTAACATACTAAGAAGGTTAGGTAAGGTCGGTGTTTTCTATGAAGCTTTTCAAAGTAAACTAAAATATTCACAATAAATTAGTATGTCACATATGCACTTATTCAATAAGTCAATATTGACTTAAAGAAAGTGCGAGAACGGGTTGCAACCCTCAGATCCTCAGACTTGTCTCTCACCCTGGTTCTTCATTTTATATAGGATGCCAATTCAGATAATTCCCTGCCTTGGCTGGGTTCTGCCTTACCTCGTGGGTCCATGATGGCAGGAGCCCCCACAAGGCCGTGTGGGAGGCAGGGAGGGGCCACAGGTATGCTGTAATCCAGTTACCGTCGGCAGGTGGCCTCCAGGCGGACACAGGTCCAACACACCGTTCTATCAGTCAGTCTGGAGAGTCTAGGGATACCACAGATGTATCAGCCAAGGGGACACAGGTTCTATACATACGTATATCAGCCAGCCAGGTGGTCCCAGGAACAGCACGGCTATATCAGCCAGGTGGTCCCAGGCTCAACACAGCTATACCAGCCAAGTGGTCCCAGGCTCAACACAGCTATACCAGCCAGGTGGTCCCAGGCTCAACACAGCTATACCAGCCAGGTGGTCACAGGGACAACACAGCTATACCAGCCAGGTGGTCACAGGGACAACACAGCTATACCAGCCAGGTGGTCCCAGGCTCAACACAGCTATACCAGCCAGGTGGTCACAGGATCAACACAGCTATACCAGACAGGTGGTCCCAGGCTCAACACAGCTATACCAGCCAGGTGGTCACAGGGACAACACAGCTATACCAGCCAGGTGGTCCCAGGCTCAACACAGCTATACCAGCCAGGTGGTCACAGGATCAACACAGCTATACCAGCCAGGTGGTCACAGGATCAACACAGCTATACCAGCCAGGTGGTCACAGGATCAACACAGCTATACCAGCCAGGTGGTCCCAGGCTCAACAGTTATCACTGGCCGGCGGCCCAAGGTCCACTGAGTACCTCGCCTCACCTGCATGGAGGTATAGGCATTCACAATACCAAACATTTAACTGACGAATAATTTGGCGATGATGGGTGCTATTGTTAATGTTATCAGTTCTCTAGACTTGTGCTTCTATATTTTATATGTGCTTCTATAATATAGGCGAGAAATATGACTAGAAACAAAGCCTTTATCCAGTCATTTTTTTTTGTTTACACAGTATAATTTTAAGCAGGAAAACCCGTTTGTGGCCAATCACAGCTTCCAAAGCTCTGATAAAAGTACCTTGAGAAGTATGTTGTGTTACATTTAATTTAAAATTTCGTGGGGCTTGATGTGTGATGTTCACTAGTTATGAGGAAAACGTCTTTTATACAGAGATTGGTGCAACAGTTTTCAACTGCATGTAGGCCTATCATGTATAAGGTTATGGGAACTCGCATGATCTATAATAATAATAATAATAATAAAGTAACTGATTTATTGACAAAAAAAAGGGTATATTTATAACGTAGATTTAGATTTTGTTGCAATATTCGTAATTTAGTTTTTCGCATTAATTGAATTAGGCTGAGACGATATCTATGGCAGGAAGCTGCAGGAATTGATTTATCTGATTTTACCTGATTTACCCGAGGGCCACTAACCCTAGTGGTCTCGACGAGGACAGGAAGCCGGCGGCTTGTCGAAAGTCCCCCACATTTGCTCCTGAGGATCGTTGCGGGTAGATTTTAAAACTGAACACAGTTTTGGCATTTACGGTTTTGGCGGGTAAGCGGTTCCGTGGGTTTATAACCCTGTGGGTGAAAAAGCAGCTCCTGTTCTCAGTCTTACAACGGTGAATATTCCAATTGTAATGTATGTAAACAAGAGCTGGGACTCACTCTTCAACACTATATCTGTGATTGCCCTGTTATCAATTATTTCAGACTACATGGTATGAGGCACTTTGAGCTCTGTAACTATTTCATACACTCATGAATATTGGAAGATACTATTGTGCTCTACCCATAGTGTGCTAGTGCAGACTAATAGATCAGCCTCTTATTTCACGTTCTCTCCTGATAACCTACGCCTTATTTAAAAGTAAAACCAAAAAATACCTAATTTCATCCTCATAGTTTCCTACCTTGTGCTTCAAACTCACACTGTATCTTGTACTGCCCACTTCCCCAATATTAGTACTTAAGACATGCAACTTCACCTGGTGTAATAATTGTCATCAATTCATATGTAGTATGTTAAACTCAAAATTGCTATATGGAAATTAATAAACTTATCTGTTAGATTAATGGGCTGCCCGAAACACTATACATGTTAGTGGTTTTGCAGGAATGTAAGCACACCAATGTTTTGTACTCTCGCAAACCTATTGTACCTTCTTTTATATAAATAAATAAATAAATAAATAAATAAAAATAACATGAATGACTAGCCATCCTGTGAGATGGGGATATTAGGGGATACTTAACATGTACATGTTTTATGGTTCAAGTCACAGCATATCCTGGCAAGTGTGCTCTACATGTATAAAACTCTGCACTGCAATGTTCATCCTGACTATAAACACTTCCCTGAAAGCTGAAAGAGAACCAGGCATGATGTGTATCACCTGGGAGCCAGAATCCATAAACTGAAAACTCCACACCCCAGAAATTACTCGAACCCATACTGCCAGGAGCACTATGCAACTGGTGTACAGGAGACCTTAACCACTCGACCGTACAGAAGATGATGGTAGCCGAGGCTATTTGCCCATCATCCCGATGGCACTCTAATAGTAATCCTGGGCATAGTTATTTTATCAAATCCTTTCATTTTTGGGGGCCACATGAGCAACACAAATGCGAACAAGCCTGAATGGTGCCCAGGCATATAAGCAACTGAAAACTCCACACCCCAGAAGTGACTCGAACCCATACTGCCAGGGGCACTATGCAACTGGTGTACAGGAGACCTTAATTTTTTAACCAATTGACTATCACGACCATTGCATACATGCCTGGGGACCATTCAGGCTTGTTTGCTTTTGTGTTGCTCACGTGGCCCCCAAAAATGAGGTGATTTGATAAAATAACTATGCCCAAGATTACCATCTGAAATAATTAAATAATAAAATAAACCATAATAAAATAATTTGATTTAAAAGTACGAGGATATATAACATTAACAATTGTGTAACTAGTTTCACAAGATTGTCACTTGCTTAGCTAAACGAGCTCTGGGGGTTCAGTATCAACTGCCTCAACAATGCTGGAATAAAAAGATAACAAATTTGTTAAACATGAACGGCCATTTATAAAACCATGTTGCGACTCAATTATTAATTTATGTTTTTCAAGATGAAGACGAATTTTATTTGCTATTATAGATTCGAGTAACTTTCCCACAATAGACGTTAGGCTAATTGGTCGATAGTTAGACGCAAGTGATCTATCTCCTTTCTTAAAAACTGGTATCACATTAGCAACTTTCCAAAACTCTGGCACTCTGCCTGACTCTATTGATTTATTAAATATGGTTGACAGTGGGTCACAAAGCTCCTCTTTGCATTCTTTAAGCACCCTGGCAAACACTTCATCCGGCCCTGGGGATTTGTTTGGTTTGAGTTTTACTATTTGTTTAAGAACATCCTTCCTGGTAACTGTTAAACTCGTCAACCTGTCCTCGTCCCCACCCACATAGACTTGTTCGGCTGAAGGCATATTGTTAAGTTCCTCTTTAGTAAATACAGGTACAAAATATTTATTAAAAATACTACTCATCTCTTCATCACTATCTGTTATTTGACCTGTCTCAGTTTTTAATGGACCTATCCTTTCACTAGTCTTAGTCTTCACTAGTCGAGCCTGGCCTCGGGCCGGGCTTGGGGAGTAGAAGAACTCCCAGAACCCCATCAACCAGTACGATATAACTGAAAAAACCCTTTAGGATTTGTCTTTGCTTGCCCTGCTATGTGAACTTCATAGTTTTTTTGCTTTCCTTATCTCTTTTTTAACATTTCTAACCAGTTGTACGAATTCCTGTTCTAAAGTGACCTCCCCATTTTTAATCCTTTTGTACCAAGCTCTCTTTTTACCTATAAGGTTCTTCAAATTCTTTGTTATCCACTTTGGGTCATTAGTATTCGATCTATTCAGTTTGTATCGTCATCTTTACCATTGTTATCATTGCTGTCTTATATGTGCTGTCAATCTGCTGTATGGTGTCTATTAATCTTGTTTAAATTACTAATCAAGCTGTCAATGTAATCAATCAGAGCTTTAATATAACAATGTGCTTTAATATACTTACTTAGCTCTCTCATCTCATTTTACTCTTGCAATGTATCTTTATCATTTATCAATTCTGATAGAAATTACCTACTTAAAATTATCTGCTAGATTAAGGACCTGCCCGAAACGCTGCGCGTACTAGTGGCTTTACAAGAATGTAAATACTGTACTATCCAATGTATTCTCACAAACCCAATGTACCTTCTTGTATATATATAAATAAATAAATAAATAAATAAATAAATAAATACTCTCATAAAACCAATGTAGTTTCTTGTATATACATATATAAATAGATAAATAAGTCAATAAATCAAAAAGTAAACAAATAAATAAATAATTATTTAACATTAAAATCACATTTCGACATATTATATATATTCTTATCTGGCCAATCAGTAAGAAGAGAGATGTTGGTATATATTATAGTTATTGCGGCGGGGCGAGGGAGCCGTACACGCGGTGGTGGTGAGGCCTGCTGCTGCTCCAGCTGCTGCTCCTGCTGCTGCTGGCTGCTGCCACCCCTCTACCTGCTGCTCCTGCTGCTGGTTGCTGGGAGTCTCTACCATCATGTCTATGCTGGCTGAACCACGCAGGAAGCAGAGGTGGTCCCTCAACCCCAGGGGATCACTCTGGGCCAACGGTACGGGCACATCTTACTCTCTAATTCCTCATAACAATTCTCTATGTCAATAGCAGCCCACGGCTGTAGAGGTATGCCTTGGGCAGCCTAAACTATATTAACATCAACACCTTGTAACATGAAATGTTGAGAATTATATTCCTTGTGGGTCCCTGTGGTGCAGGGGTAAAGCACTCGCCCGGCGCTTTGACCGGGGTTCGTATCCTGGCCAGGGAGGATTGACTGGGTGCCAGTCCTTAACTGTAGCCTCTATTCACCCAGCAGTGAATGGGTACCTGGTTGTTAAGGGATTTGGCAGGTCATATTCCAGTGAAAAATTAGGATTAAGGATGTGCCCGAAACTCTATGCTATATATACTCTTGTATATATAAATAACAGAAAATATTAAGGGTTACCGAAATGACTTTATTCCACTATAGTTCCTGAGCCCATTGTGTGCCTCTGTAATGTTTTCCACTACTACTTACAGGATGGGTATGGGGTCCACTACTACTCACGGGATGGGTATGGGGTCCACTACTACTCACGGGATGGTATGGGGTCCACTACTACTCACAGGATGGGTATGGGGTCCTCTAATGACCATGGGATGGGTATGGGGTCCACTACCGACCACAGGATGGCTATGGGGTCCACTAATACCCACATTATGGATAATAGTAGACCCAACCACAAATATTATACATTGTGATCATTAGGTAAGATAGGATTGATTGGACTGGGTCTGGTGTTTAAAGAGTAGCGATGATGTAGATGGATGAAACATTTAGTAGCTCTTTGATCCCATTCAATTTGCTTAGCAACTAGGAGATCCAGTAAAAAAAAAATGCCAAACCAATCTTATGAATAATCAAACAACCTTTGACTGTAAGGAAAAAAGTAGTTATTCAGCTGTACAGAACTTTTGTGTGCCCCATTTGCAATACTGTATCACTCTATAGGTAAAATACTGTATATCAGCTGATGTTTCCTATATGTATTTTATGAATTATTTTGGAACAAAATTAATTTCAGATGACCAAAAGTTTGGTCAGAAGTTGATGGAGAAGATGGGCTGGTCAAAAGGCAAAGGTCTGGGACGAGAAGAGCAAGGGCATACAGAGCACATTTCTGTCAGGTGTAAAGACGACAACAAAGGTAATTTGCTTATACAGTACTGGATTTTCCCGTCTCAAAATTATGGTAACTGAATACCTTTAATATTAAGGTTGCATGTTCATACTTAAATATGCTACTAAATACATGGATGTTTCCAATCTAATTGACGCAGCCAAACTTCAGCTCTTGGTACCTCCAATGGTCATAGTACTTTAGCCAGCATAAAGAGCTTCACAGAATATACTGTACTATATTTTGATTTTTTTTTTTTTACTTTTTCATAATTTTGAGTATATTCGTTTAAAAAAAATATACTTGCATACTTTTTGTTTTGTCCTAACTTACATCGGAATGTAATGCAGATTAATGTAAAAATTAATGTTGACCATTGTCTGGGCCAAAATAAGGGTAAATGGTTTTCTTTTTATGTATTTTCTATATATACTTTTAAATACAGATCTACCATTTCATAAGAAAAACTAAATAATGATGTATTGTTTGTTTGCATACAAGCAGGGAGACAATTTTGATAATAGTTGGAAAATAATATTCTGAAATATTTTGAACTAATTCCCTTGGTTGATTTCTAAAGTAAGTTCCAACTAGCTCAGAACAGGTTGTGTACAGTCAGGGAGGAAATACACTGCACTAACTTAGGTAGGGTCAGTTTTAAGAAGCTCTTGCAGGGAATATTGGTTCTAAGCATCACTAGAGAACATTAAATCCATCACTGAATGCCTCCATTAAGATCATTCATAAAAACTCCTCTAAGCTCTTCTCCACATCAAACCTGACCAAATAAGGCTCCTAAATAGCCCAATCTAGGTCACTACTCCCAACTCTCACCAGAGTATGGCACCATCACATCACAGTGCCCTGATCTGAACTGGCCATTAGCTTCCTGACTAATCTATACTTCTCTCACATCTATACTTCCTAAGTATAGATGTGAGAGAACGGGTTTTCACAGCTAGACTGCTGAGCAACTCTACACAGGCAGTGTATTGAGCATTGGTTTCACCTATCAGTGGACACAAATACCATTGTGTTGGGTGTCTATGAATCTGGAATCATAAGTTACCTTGAGGGTAACCAGCCAGCAGTTAAGAATTTGTGTGAATTTGTGTGAATCATGCCAGCAGTTAAGAATTTGTGTGTTGTTTGTCGATGTGTGATGTCTGGTTATACTATGAGGGCAGTTGTACAACTAGCCTGCATGTTCATAGATGGGGGTACACCTCCCAGAGTCACTGTGGAGTGGAGCAGGTACCCATCTGGTCTTGCTTGGGGTTGACTACAAGCAATCGTCACTGTATGCCTGTTTCCCGTCTCCCACCCCTCACGTGAATAAAGGCCACCTCCTATTGTCTAGCACTGAATCTTCTAAATTCGATGAACCGACCTGTTTTTCCTACATCTCCAGGTGGAAATCGGACACAACCTATATCTGGCATGATCTCCGCAGGATCTTGTGCTGTTGCTCTAGGCATTTTACGTTGTTGATAATTATTGTGAGTGGCTTGCATGCCATGATGCTGCCTCCCCACTGTAGGATAAAGAGAAATACAATAGTGTTGATATAATGAGATATATTTCAAGCATCTTTAACAATTAAATGCATTGATTTTATTTGAAATACAATTTACCCTGAATAATCTTCCCTTATATTTCTAATACCTGAACACATATTTGAATAAAGTTATGCTTGGATTTTACATTTATGCAGTATTTTTAGCCCTGACTTATATTTCTCCAGGTCTTGGGTACAAGGGGAAAGATGATGAGTGGATTAAACACTACGAAGGCTTCGAAAATGTCTTGGCCATGCTCAATAGCGAGCATAACAGTGCTGCTAATTCCAAGACTAACTCGGCTAGCAACAGTTCTGCCGTCAGTGATGAAGAAACGGAAGAGAAGGATGTGAAATCCTTGGAAGCTCGATCAAAAGTTTCTCGAGCTAGAGTTCAGTGAGTGGCTAAAATTTCTCAATACTATTTTAAATTTATTTGTCATCATTCATTTTTATCATTTAATGGAGGTGAAAGTTTACGTTAATTGAGGTGCCAGAAATGTTTATTTTGGAAGTAGCATGTTTTGTTTAATGAAGATCTGAATTTAGTTTTGTGATGGTTCCAGAAAAGCTATACTGAAAATAGCTGTGAAACCATCTGTCTTTGATTACTTTTTTAAATGTTTCCAAGATATTTCATATAAAATATTTTAGAAAAAAGTTTTGGTATGTGATACTGAACTCTTGAGAAAATCTGTAGGTGCCATGAGGAGGATTTGAATGTGTGTGCTGGATACTCCCAGGCACACTCCTGTTCATTACACCACAGCATGGTCAAAAGCATTGCACCCTGGGATTCAACTTCATTCTCTAGGGTTCCTGAGGCTGCCACTGAAGACTAATCAGGGTTTCACAATGTCCACATGCACTCTAGTTCATGGTCCAGTAACCTTTGTTTCTTGTCAAATGTTCCCGAGGCTTCAGTGGAAACCTCGGGAACCCTAGAGGATGCAGTTGCAATGCTTTTGACCATGTCATGGTGTAGAGCCTGCCAGGGAGTACCCAGTGCATAGGTTTGGATCCTCCTCATGGCCCTTATTGATTTTCTCATTGAGACATCACTTTAATGTGATGTGTGTATGTAATCTTTGTGCGTATGGGATACTCGGTGGACCTGGTTCATTCACACCATTTGGGAGACATGGCCCTAGATTTGAAAAATATGCCATAAGGGACGGCACCAGGGCAATACTGGAGACGAGGGTAAAATCTCTTACCAGGTTCTCTTGGTGGATTTCCATCAGATGATACAATGAAATTAAAGTTGAGTTCAGTGAAATTGGTCCATAGTTAGGCAAAAATTAGGGTATGAATGATAACTTCTTAAAAATACAATTGGAGCCATATTAAAATTTTTGCAAGTGTACACAATACTAGGAGAAACAGTTGGTGAAAACTCTGGCCTTGAGGGCGGCAGCCACCAGCTGACTGTGTAAGGTCGTATGTTCACTTGGGATAGCCAGTGAGCATATTTTAAACAAAATTCCATCATTAGTTTTCATTTTGAGTGTACATGTACATAAAAAATATTCAAAATTTGGTGATAACCAAAAAAAATGAACAATTACAGTATTCCGAAAGCCAGATTGGGCCTGGGGGCAATATGGACCAAATTTTGGACGTTACGGTGTACTGAATACCAGTACTGTATATTTTTAATATAATTGTTGCAAAAGTGAGGTTTTAGTATTTATATACTGTGTTTCTGTATTTATATATACAATACTTAGTTTTCTGGCCAAAACACTATGCCTGTTAGTGGCTTTGCAAGAATGTAATGCTCAAACACCAGTGTTGTGTACTCTCACAACCCAATGTACTTTCTTGTAAATAAATACAATAAAATAAATATTTAATTGTTAGTTGGGGAAGGGGAAGCTCTACATATAGCTTGCCACTTTTGTGCTCTTTCCTTCTGGCTCAGTATGGAAACCAGTACATTTACTTATATTCCTGGAAAACAACATGTTATACAACTAGTGCATTATATATGGGTCCACTGCACAATGTTTGGTTAATATGCTGCATTAATTCATGAGACACTATTTGCACTAATATTGTATTAACTCTTTACAGCTACCACAAGTTTACGAGAGGTAAAGACCTAAGTCGCTACAATGACGATGACATTGCCTGCATTCTGGGCTCTAAGAGGGCAAAAATAGCCAAAGCAAAGTCTATTGAAGAATCCACTTCCATCGTTGATGAGATTGGGCATGTAGATAAACTTAATGGTGTTACTACCATTAAGGGTTGCAGTGTCCAGGTGAGTCGACATTTCATCAGCTTGCTTTGTAACCTTAATACTGTATTGTCAATTTTACTATTGCTACTTCCAACTAGCTGGGATAAAATGTGCACAAAGTTTTGGATAGCTCAAATTTAATCTTTTGAAAAATTAAATTTAATATTTTAAGATTCAGAAGGGAATGTGGAATGAACGGAATGAAACCCTATTGTTTGTTCACTCTATAAAGTAGTTTTCATGATGTTACATTTTTTCTTATTTTTTCTGATCTTGCTTTTTTATTCATATTCAAAATAGGCACTTACTTTTTATGAATGTTTTTCTAAGCTTGTACAGTACTATGGTATACATTGTTCAAGGGTAGTAATGATTTTTTCTGAGACATCCACCAGACCTACTGTGATGTGTTTTCTTCATATGTTGGTTTGGTCTGGCATATTTATTGGTTGGTTCATTATTTCACTGGTGTTTCTGCTGATATATCAATATTTACAAGTTGAAGCCATGTGCAGCAGCAATACTGACTGTGGTTACATTGACCACACACTGGGGTAAGAGGAACTTTGACATAAAAATATTTATAATATTGGATATTGAAAATAACAAAAATATTGACACAAAAAAAAATCATGAAACAGCGTCAAATCAAGTTTGATGGTGGAACACTGAAGGGAATGCTGAAAAATACTAAGGTATAAATTTAAAGAAGATATGGAACCTCATAAATTGAGAATAATTTTTGTCTGTTTGCTGATAATATATTTTAATTTCAGGATTACTTTGCAAAGAAAATGGCTGCACTAAAAAGAAAAACAGTTGCAAATACCTCAGCCATGGAGACAAACACTTGTACAGAGGAGAAAGAGGATTTTGAAGCAAGAGCTGAAGATGGATTTGATCTGCATACTGAGAATGAAGAAGTCAATCCTAATAGTTCTGTAAATTACATTGAAAGAAATGCAGAAGATACAGAAAGTAAAATAGGAAGAGGAACTCTGGAAGTAGAAGAAAATAAAGAAAATCCAAAAAAGAAGAAGAAGAGAAAGAAGGAACGAGAGGGCCTGGAGCAGTGTGTTGTAGGTACTGAAGAGACATTTGGAAAGAATAAGGAATTACAGGAAAGTATAGAAGGTGAAAAGAGGAAAAGAAAAAAGAAAAAGAAAGGCAAAGGTGAGAATAATGAGAGCTGTGAGAGTTTGGATTCTCCCGCAGAAGTTAATACAGAAAAGAAAAGCAAAAAGAAAAAGAAAATTTTAATTGAAGATGAACTTGATGCTGAGTATTCAAAATTAGTAGAAATGAAAGAAATCTGTGAATCACACTTGAAGAAGAAAAAGAAAAAGAAGAGAGATCCAACATTAGGAGATAATATTCATACACTTAATGAAGAAGAATCTGTTTTAGAATTTGTAGAACAGTCTAGTCATCCAGATAAAGTCAAGAAAAAGAGGAAAAGGGAGTCTAGTGAATGTGCCAATAAGGACAGCATGGACCCAGATGGAAAACCAAAGAATAGAAATAAAAAAACACAAGGTAGTCTCTTGCAGGATAAAGTCAACAGTGAAATGTGTCATGAAGATATTGACAACCAGCATTCAGATAATCCAAAGAAAAAGAAGAAAAAGAACAGGAAACAGACAAATGAAGAAGGATAACAATAGATGCAAAATATTTTGTTACTGCCGCTGCTGAAATGCAGATGTATTTTGGATCATAATTTGAAAAATAAAGATGAGAACAACCTTGTGATGCTTCCACCTCTTTGGATAACCCTATCCTCCCTAAATGTTTATTCTCTGACCAAACCTGGGATCACCACCCTTGTGGTGGTCCCTGTTCTTGATCATACATCCTTTGCAAATCTGATACTTTTGACATCGCTCGTCTTATGCCTTTATGCTCTAGCATTGGCAGCCCGAATGATATTTAAGACCTTATGAATATCCCTTGACACAGATGATACTAAATAGCCTTCCCAGCTTAGTGCTCTTTTGATAATTACATACTTAACCATACCTGGGACTACCACCCTCTCTCTGTTCTGACCATACCTGGGACTACCATCTTGAGGTTATCTTGAGATGATTTTGGGGCTTAGTGTCCCCGCGGCCCGGTCCTCGACCAGGCCTCCACCCCCAGGAAGCAGCCCGTGACAGCTGACTAACTCCCAGGTACATATTTACTGCTAGGTAACAGGAGCATCAGGGTGAAAGAAACTGCTCATTGTTTCTCGGCAGCGCCCGGGATCAAACCCAGGACCACAGGATCACGTGTCCAGTGTTCTGTCCGCTCAGCCACCGGTTCCCTAGGGACTACCACCCCTCACTGTCTGTCCTGATCATACCTGGACTACCACCCCCATCGTTCTGACCCCACACTGCTACTCTGAAAAACTGTAGTGATTTCAAAGTGATGTATAAGTTACAGTAATAACCACACTATTGTAGTGGCAATTCTTTTATCAATAAGTTATAGATAATTGGCTGATTTTAAATACTAGTATTTCTTGTATTTACACATTTGTGCAATAAATGTGCAACGAGACATGACTTTTCAGCTACATTATTAAGGTAACGTGCCATGAAAAGTAGTGGCTCACCAAAATCCACGTCTGTATCAGTTGGTTAGACTAGATGGGTGGCTTGTGGTTGTGCATTTCTTGTTAGGAAATGGATGGTGGATTTTGTACATTACGATGAATTGTGAAAATGGGCTGGCTAATTAGCCAGACATGCTGCACGTTGGTGTGCTCCCTCCCATAAATTCCACAAATGTCATGCTAAAATATTTTCCAGGTATTAATGCTCCATATGACATTATAATCTTGCCTTGTATTTTTTTTTTTTTTGGTATGCACAAACATTTGATCTATTGTATAATCTATCTTTATTCTTCCATTTTTTAGTTATCTTGCCTTGTTAATTCCCTTCCCAATATTTTGTTACGGCTGCTGAAATGCATATGTATTTTGGATCATGATTTGGAAAATAAAGATAAAATCAACTCGTTTGTTATATTTTAAATAAGTTTGTTATTCACTCTTAATACAGTAATTAAATGGCAACATTTCTGGTTTTCTTTATTGGAATTTCAATATTTATGAATAAACCTATACAGAAGAGATAACACAGATAAAATTAGGATCATCATATCCTCTGTTAAATCACATGAAACCGCTGAACTGCTGTTTGTTACTGGGAGGTGCAGTTAGTATCCTGCATCAGTATATATATAGCAGAGCAGTTAATTAGTTCCCTATTAATATCCCCTTTGTTATGCCCATTCATCCACTTGTACCCCCTTTATCATGTCACCCCTAATTCTTCGCCTTTCTAGAGACTAATTTAAGCCTTGTCAATCTTTCTTCATATGACAGGTTTCTAATTTGCAGGATTAACTTTGTCATCTTACACTAGATGCATTCTAGTGAATTTATATCCATTATATAGTATGGTGACCAAAACTGAAAGCATAATCTAAATGGGGCCTAACAAGAGCAAGATATATGCTGAAGAACAATACCAGGTGTCTTATTACTAATGCTTCGATAAATAAATCCCAGTGTCCTATTTGCCTTATTATAAACATTTATGCATTGATTTTTTGGGTTTAAATTCTTACTAATCATAACTCCTAGATCCTTTTTGCAATTTCAACACCATCTAGCTTGTATCTAAAGCTTATCATCATTACCTAACTTCAAAACCTTACATTTGCTGGCATTAAACTGCATATGCCAATCTTTTGACCATTTCAAAACCTTATTTATATCGTATTGAAGTGATCATAACTCTTTCCATGTTTATTTCCCTCTTGATTTTTGTATCATTTTGTTTTGGATAAGTTTAGATATAAGTAAGACCTGGGTAAATACTGGTTCGGTAGCAGGGTTGTCGATTTGTGGAACCAAATACTGTACAGCGTAATCTAATAGACGTAGGATCCCTTGATTGTTTCAAGCGTAGGTTAGACACATACATGAGTGAGTTTAAGTGGATATAAATAGGAGCTGCCTTGTATGAGCTAATAGGCCTTCTGCAGTTAACTTGATTCTTATGTTCTTATATAATGCTTTGAAACTACAGTACTGTACTGATGTTTTAGGCCTCCCAAACTTGTTCCAACTGTACCACTGTTTGCGAAAGTGAATTTTCTTATATTTCTTCTGCAGCTTTGTTTAGTTAGTTTAAATCTATGACATCTTGTTCTTGAAGTTCTAAGTCTGGAATTCTATCCTATAAATTTTATCAATTCCTGTTACTATTTTGTATGTAGTGATCATATTGCTTCTTTTTCTTCTATTTTCTAGTTTTGGCATATATAACACTTTGGTGCACCCCGCTCGCCACCCCTCAACTGTGCGATATGGGACCCAGGGTGTCACGGGAGTGCGCGTAAATTTTGAAAAGTGTATACTCTCTTCAACTTTGCCACCTTAATTCTCGTCCTACGAGATTAAATTTGGTATCATTGTGTTCGCAATAGAATTCTCTACAGCACTAAATGCATATAAACTCCAAAAGCCTGGCTAATTACCCGCAGCAAACAGAGAAAGTGCGAACGAGTTACCCAGGAGCGTGCAAACGCGATAAAATGTTTTCACTATTTTCACTCTGGTCACCTCAATTTTTATCCTAAGTCTTTCATTTTGGTCTCAATGGGTTCACAATAGAATTCTCTAGAGGAACATTAGCATATAAAATAAAAAACCTGGTCACGCTCCAACCGCCGACGAGTTGAAGACGGGTCACGCGTTAGCCGCGAGTGAGTGCTCAGCCGCCTTCCAGCTACACTCCCAATTCCCGCCCTTTTCAAGCCTTTCTTTCGCAATTTTCTTCCTGGAAGGGCCTTGTTCATGATCACTATCCATCGTGGAGTAAGCGTAGATAGTTTCTAAAGCCGTAGTAAGAAATATAGCCACGGAAAATAGCTGAAATGTTCACACGTTTGAGATGCGAGGGGAGGCGACATTGGTCACAACAGTGGAGCGAAAAGAATGGGCCCACGGCATGTGCTAAGCTGCCTGAGGGCCACGAGGCTCAACAAAGAAAATGGGAAGACATCGGCGCGCATTTTAAAACCAGTCCCAAACAAATCGGATAAAAACCTGATTTTTGGCGATTATTTAAAGTGGATGACGCAATGCTGCGTCATCCCCGGAATTACCGCGAGTAAACGGATGACGCAATGCTGCGTCATGCCCGGGCGAAAGTGTTAATACCTTTATCCTCAACTTGTAGCTCTTGTTTTTTTGTTCCGGGAGTCATTTAGTTGCCAGAAAACAAACCATCTTATACTTTCCTTAGCAAATTTTACATCTCTTCTGTTTGTAAATTGATTTTAATGCGTGTGGTTCCAAGCAGTCTTTTTCACAAACATACCTTGGTGTTGAACTAAATTTTCTTTCAAATAGTATGCAAAGGGTAACAGGAAATCAAATCAAATCGTATTCAAATGCAGTTAAAAGCTCTGTGCCGCAGGGTACAGTCCTTGCACCACTGCTTTTCCTTATTCTCATATCAGATATAGACAAAAATATAAGTAAGAGCTTTATATTATCTTTAGCAGATGACACAAAAATCTGCATGAAAATTACTTTAGTTGAAGACATTGAAAAACTACAAGTATATATTAATAAAGTTTTTGACCGGACAGCAGAAAATAACACAATGTTAAAGTGAAAAATTTCAGGTACTGTACTTGAGTATGGTATCAACCAGTCCAACAGCCTGGTTGATCAGTCCGGCAACCAGGAGGCCTGGTCGACGACCGGGCCGCGGGGACGCTAAGCCCCGGAAGCACCTCAAGGTAACCTCAAGGTATGGTAACATTGAGGACCTTAAACAACATACAGGGTATAAAATGTAATCAAATTTACCCACAGTAGAAAAGCAGCATGTAAAGGATCTGGAAATAATGATGACTGACGACTTAACGTTTAGGGAGCATAACCTAGCAAATATTGCGTCGGCCAAAAAAAATGCTAGGATGGATTACGAGAACCTTCAAGTCCAGGGGATCCCATCACAATGGTTGTACTATTTAAGTCACTTTTGCTGTCTCATCTTGAGTACTGCTCAATACTTGCTTTTCCCTTCAGAGCAGGAGAGATTGCTGATATAGAGGGAATACAGAGAACATATACAGTATACAGACCCAATAAAACACCTAAACTATTGGGATCATCTCGAAGCTTGCCAAATATACTCTCTATAATGAAGATGAGAGATGTTTCAAATAATATATACAGTACATGGAAAATACTAAAGGGCCAAGTCCCAAATTTACTCAGTAAAATAACAACATATTGGAGTGAACAATGTGGAAGGAAATGCCCAGTGAAGAACAAAGGTGACATAGGCACAATCAGAGAACACTGCATGAATATCAGAGGTCCACAATTGTTCAACATCCTCCCAGCAAGTATGAAAAATATTGCCGGAACAAAAAAGAACATCTTTAAGAGAAAACTGGATAGTTTTCTGCAAGAAGTGCTTGACTGTTGTGGATACGTGGGCCTGCGGGCTACTCCAAGCAATAGCCTGTTGGACCAAGCTCTCACAAGTTCAGCCTGGCAAACTTAGGGAGTAGAAGAACTCGGAACCCCATCAAGGTAGGAACAAGGTATTACTGACTGCCTGGAGAGTCCAGGGATGAGAGTTCAATCCTATCACAAAATGCAATCAAAATGCCCTCAATATTTTCTCATGGATATATTACGTTCGTGTGATTTCATTGTGCAGTCCTTCCTTCATGCACTATAACTACACATCTTAAATCTTGTTCTCACTAATTATTGTTTTCATTTCCAGTCATCGTACAAATTGTAAATTACTGTACAGTACTAACAATAAGAGTTGTTTATAATTCAATTTATAACAAAGATTACTGATATTAATATCTACATGAAATTGTTCTGCAAGATTCATATTTAAATTATTCTTAAGACCAGATTAGAAAAAAATTATTCATAAGTGTATGCAATGAAAATTTATGCATCCTCGAATTAGCTAATTGTCCTGGGTGTTGTGATCAGAGTTTTATCCCGGTGTTGCGACTGTGAGGTCACTGAGCACACAAGCTCCACAGCTAAGGTTAATTTGGTCACCCATGTATTACCTGCATAACCATTTAAGCAATAATTGAATTTTATGCATGGTATCCAACACATGTCTCTGAAGTGTATTGGTGTAAATTGGTTGCTTTCATCTTAAACGTTTTAATTTGAAATTTTAAGAGATTTTCTGCAAAAAAAAAGAAAAAGAAGATATAAGCATTTTATGTTAGTAAGTTTTTTTTTTTATTACAGGATTATTTTGCACAGAAAATGGCAGCTTCAAAGAATAAAGTGTTGCCAGAACTGCCAGCTGAAGAAAATGTGGAAGAGAACAAGCCAGTGGTGAGAAAGACACTAGGAATTAATGTTTGTATTAATAGTTCAAATGAGGAAGAGGAAACACACAACAGGGATCATAAAACATTCAGAACTAAAAAAGGAAGTAAAAGAAAACACGAGTCATCCTTAGAAGATAAAGTGGAGGTAGAAGAATGTTGCCAAAAGAAACAAAGACAAGAATTAAGTAGTGAAAAAGAAAGCCTGTCACCTAAATTGAAGTATAAGAAAATCAATAATTCTTTTGATAGAGGAAATGTTGAAGATGTAAGTATGATTAGAAACAACACTATTACGCATGAAGATGAGTGTTATATAAAACATGGAAAAAAGAAAAAAAAATATAAGAATTACACAGATGAAGTTGTTTCACAGGAAAGTGATATAGAAGAAACTGTGGCAGGTAACAAAAAGAAAAGAAAGAAAGCAAAATTGTTAGAGAATGAAGGTTGTCAGTTTCCAGAGAGGGACAATATTGAACAATTGGAAAAGTCTGTTAAAAAAAGGAAAAAGAAATTAAGTTGCAGAGACCAAAGTGAGAAACAGGAAATAAATCAAACAAGCATATTTATAAGCGATGCAGCTAATGCAGAAAGTCATGGAAGGAAAAAGAAGAAAAAGAGAGAGAATATACCTGAACAAAGTGAAGGTAACATAGAAGTAACAAATTACAAAGATGGGAATATACCAAATGATTTACACCAGATACAAATAAATGACAAAGAAAAAGGAAAAATAAATAACAAGGAAGAACAGGATAAGGAAAAGAAAGAGCAAGTAAGTTTGGAAGATGTAGAAACAGAGCCTAAGAAGCAGAATGAAAATTCACACTTACTTTGTAATCAGTTTACAGCTAATTTTAACGACAAGAAAAATAAAATTTGGCTAGATCTTGATGTTATAAAATTTTCAGAATCTAGCATTTACCCAGAGGCCCGTGAATCGCTAGAAATTCGTAGTAAACGTAGAAGCAAAAATAATCTTGAAATAATGAATAAAGTTATTGGTATACATAAACTCTTTAGGAAAAATCCGGATAGATTTGTAGAAGATTTAGGTCCTGGTATTGATGAAAATAGACTTAGTGATAGTAGTAGTATCATGAACTCTAAAACAAAAACTACACGACTGGATTTGGTAGATAGAGAGAGAACAGTTGCGAACCCTGACAGTAAAGCAGAGAAGGAAGGGTACATCACTCACAGCTGGCAGAGTGACTTGAAATGTCTTGAAGGTGATCAGGAATATGTGGAAGATAGAGTAACCAATAAACAATATGAATTAGCATCCTCAAATATAGATTATGTTAATGTAGAGAAGGTCAAAAGCAAATGTGACAGTAGGAATGGTACATCCATAGATATTGAATTTAAATCAGCTCTAAAGGAAAATGATGTAAACAGTAATTATGAGGGGAAGTTTTGCAGTAACTTAAAGAAAGATTCAATAATAATGGCCAAAAGTAAATTAAAAACTAAAGAAATACTTGCAGTTGCTGAAGCTTTTAAGGGAGCTAATCTGTTGGATTGTAGAGGTTATGAAACTAAAGCAAGACAGGAAGCCTTGGAAGATGTAGTACCAGAAGGACAATTAAAAAATTGCTACTTAAAGCCTAAAAAGAAAGAATTCATTAAGGATTCACATTTATTATCTAGCAAAAATATTAGCCCTGAAGAGAAAAAAAACTGGTTATCTGACAATGTAATGAATTTAGCTGAATCAAGGGTGTGTCCAGGAAGAAAGTCTAAAATACTTGTGGGAGTTGGTGCTCATGCTTTTAAGGGAGCTAATCTGTGGCAATGTAAAGGTTACGAAACTAAAGCAACAAAGGAAACCTTGGGAGATGTAGAGCCAGAAAGGGATTTAAAGCACAACCTAAAGCCTAAAAAGAGAGAGTTCACAAAGAATAAGAAAAATAAAAATCAGTTAATTAAAAATGTTACGACATTATCAGAATCGAGAGCATGTCCGGAAAATAATGACCCTTCGGAAAGATGCAAAAAACAAAGCCAAAATATTAGTGATTTAAATAGCAAGCTCAGCATCATCAATAAAATGTTCAGGAAAAAGCTTGATGATTTAGCTAATGACATAAGCAATAAAAATATCAGCCATGAAAATAATTTCATGGGTTCTGAAACTAAAAGTACACCTCTAGATTGTATAGAAAAAAATAAGAAAGTTGTGTACTTTAAGAGTACGTCAGATAGAGGAGAGAGTCGTGCAGACAGCTGCTGGGAGAGTGGAATGGCTCCTCAAGTTCATAAAGTTGACCAGGTTAATGTTGCAGCTAAAGACACTATAAAGCATGAATCAGGTTCCCTAAATACTAATTACGTTACTAAGAAGAAGGTCAGAAGTAAATGCGATACTAGGATTCAAAATGATGGAAATAAAAAACAGTTCATGAACAGTGATTACGAATCTTGTACGAATGTACGTGGCATGAACAGAACTCGTGTGGGGAAGTTTCGTAGTGGCAAGGGAAAAAATAAACACGTGTCTAAAAACTATTTAAGTAATAATGAAATACTTTCAGGTGCTCAAGCTTTTAAGGGAGCCAATCTGTGGCAATTCAGGGGTTATGATATTTAAAAAAAGAAAAGAAAATTATCCTTTTGGACTAGGGCTAGACAAGTTTCAATAGTTAAATTATTTGTAGAAAGAGTTTGCAGAATTCATTTCCGGTCTCACAGTATAAATCAGATATACTGTACTGTATTTGCAATTATTACAGTTCAAATTAAATAAAGTTGTCATTAATTTATTACAAGGTAAAGAGAAAATTACAGTAGGTTAAAAATTTATTTAGTGGTAAATTAAATAATTTTACAGTGGACTTTCATAATGAAGAGCTTTATTGAAACATAATGAAGGGTAGTTTTGACAGGTTATTGTTTAGAAAGAATTTGTTTTCAGAATAGTGAACAAATGGAATGCACTAACAAGTGAGGTGGTGGAAGCATAAACTATACACAGTTTCAAATGTAAATATGATAAGAGCCCAGTAGGTTCAAGAACCCATACATCATGTGGGATCAAAGAGTTGAAACTTACCCCCCTGCAAGCCCAATTAGGTGAGAAGAGTAGCAATTTTAATTTAAGAGTAACATACTATTTAAATGACAGCATTAGCAGGTTTTCTATACATACTCTAATTAATGATTTTGTAGTCGTTATGTAACTATTTTGATATTTGTAGTGAAGAACTGTTAATACGTAAAATTGAATTTTTATGTTGGCTTCTCATAAATAAAGTGAATATGAAAGAAATACAATGTTTATTTACCTTTACTTTTTTTTTTTTTTTCTCTCTGCCATTTCCAGCGCGCCACGGCCTTGGTGGTCAGGGATGCGCTTTGGGTTGATCGCTTTCCCTTCCCTGTTCCGGGATTTTGGTCTCCCAGGTTGTCCGCTGGGTCCTTAGGGCCAACCTGCCTGCGGTCTATCCTTGTTCCCGTGACGTTTGTATGTTTGCTGTGTTGGCGATTGCCTCCCGGGTTTGTCCCTCTTGTGTTATCTATGGGTAAGTAGCTCCGGGGGAGCCGACAGGGCTCTTCCCCCCACCCCCAGAAAACCAGCATTGAATGTAATGAAACACCATTTTCTGGGTTTGGGTGAGACCCAGAGGCTCCCCAGAGGCTCCCCAGCAACCCTACCTCCCTCTGGTCGGCAGCGTGTTTGTACATCCAGCCTCAGAACTGCAGGATGGATAGCCAGCGTGAGGGTCTGGGGCTTCCCCTTCCGATTGTGGGGGGAGGTTGCACAGACAACGGCATGGCGATGTGGTTACATCATGCTAGTTTTCATTTGGGGTGTTCTGTCCACTAGTTCGGCTTTCGGTAGCAATATTTTAACCAGAATAGGGGTTTGTTCTGGGTGCCTGACCCAGTCGATGGCAGACATATTATGCTTCCACCCACAAGGGGCTTTCTATAGGCCAATGCTCCTCGTGTCTCTGAGGGGGGCCAGGTTCTGGCTCGTGGTCCCTGGTAGGCCTAGAACTCAATGCACATTGAGTGATGCCAAAGTCTAATATATCCTCATCAGCCTGAATAGCTCCGGGTCTGCCTAGAAAACGGAGTTTCATTACATTCAACGTTGGTTTTATACCTTAATGAAGTGTTTTAAATATAATTTTGTTATACTGTTCAGTAATCCACATGCCTCATATTCCTCAAATAGTCCCTCCTGACTATCCCCCAACACCACCCACCCTGATGCCTCCCATTCCCCACGCCTCCAGCAACTTCTGTACAGGATTAATACGGTATGGCCTGATGCCATTCCCGGTTATCTAGATTTCTGTCCAGATATGGCAGACCAAAATTGGGACTATTTTAACCAGATAACTCAAAGGTGACACTAAACAGGCTCTGGATAAATGAACTCATATAGTATCATTGAGTCTGAATAATAGGGGTTACAATAAAATACTGTCTATGGGGGTAAAAGAAAAATGTATTTTAAAATTACCATAAGTAGGAATATAGAAACGCCCGTCACGGACATTAAGAATTTTATAATGTAAAAATATAGATTTCCATAAATCAATAAATTTAACAAAGATAAAAATCAGCATTAAGGTATATGCACTTAACTCTTTACTAATGGCACTGTATCAAGCAAACTTTAAGCACACTTGATATGATATTAAGTATTAAACAGATGTATTGACATAATTATCAATCACAAAAGAAGCATGTCCTACATATGCAGTATCTTGTTACAAAAACATGAAAATTAATGGTATAAAAATAACACAGACCTTATCCTATTCACAAGAAATATTCAAATTGATCACTGACTATATGTGCTACTCATATTTATACTATATCTCTGCTTAAATGGTTTTAACGCTTTAGCATTCCTACCTGTTGGCACATTCCCGACAACAAACGTTCCAAGCATCTTAGGATCCCACTCACTCGGCAAGACCTAAAGTGGTTGGGAATCGTTCTTTTCTGTCCTATCCCAAATCCATATACCGTACTCATATCCCTTCCTAGTGCTTTATAGTCGTAATGGCTAGGGGGCTTTCTTCTGATAAATACCTATTACTGAAAGTTTTCTCAGTTAGTTTTTCGGTTATTACTATAAACTTGGTATTAAATGTTTGCAAATGAACTTGCTAGCATATAGATGCAAAACAAAATGGGATTTAATAATTGAATTTGCATCACAGTGCTGAATATGCAAATTTGTATGATTTCAACATTCCTCATAAATTAAGTGAATTTCAGGAATTTTTAGATGATTGATACATTTTAGCATTACTAGAACGTTTACTGTCAGAGTACGGACTCTTTAGTGTATTCGGAATGCTGGTGTTAAAACATCTCTCTAATAAATTGCAATAGACCATACAGTTTGAACAGAGATCAAACTGTGACTTGAAGCAAGCACTGCAGCACAAACACACAGTACTGTAACTATGAAAAGAATTGGCTAAACCAAGATATAATTATACTGTATAACACAATTTGTATGTTTTGGCATCAACAGCAAAATTGTGATTCCTATTTCTGTACTGTACAATCTACTTGATCGATATTTGGCACAAAATGCTTGATACAAGTATTGGTGTAGGTGGTAGGAATGGGGCTGGTAGTAGGAATGGTGGTGGGACTGGTGCCTGAGGTGGGAATGGTGCTGGTGGTAAGAATGATGCCGGTGGTGGGAATGCCAGTGGTGGGAATGATGTTGGTGGTGGGAATGGCTGGTGGTAGTGGGAATGATGTTAGTGGTGGGAATGATCTGGTGGTGGGAATGGCTGGTGGTGTTGGAAATGAGGCTGGTGGTAGGAATGAGGCTGGTGGTAGGAATGATGGTGGTGGTGGGAATGGTGATGGTGATAGAAATGGTGCTGGTGGTGGGAATGATGGTGGTGGTGGGAATGATGGTGCTGGTGGGAATGATGGTGGTGGTGAGAATGGTGCTGATGGTGGGAATGATGGTGGTGGTGGGAATGGTGCTGGTGGTGGGAATGGTGCTGGTGGTGGGAATGGTGCTGGTGGTGGGAATGGTGCTGGTGGTGGGAATGGTGCTGGTGGTGGGAATGATGCTGGTGGTGGGAATGGTGCTGGTGGTGGGAATGGTGCTGGTGGTGGGAATGATGCTGGTGGTGGGAATGGTGCTGGTGGTGGGAATGGTGCTGGTGGTGGGAATGATGCTGGTGGTGGGAATGGTGCTGGTGGTGGGAATGGTGCTGGTGGTGGGAATGATGCTGGTGGTGGGAATGGTGCTGGTGGTGGGAATGGTGCTGGTGGTGGGAATGATGCTGGTGGTGGGAATGGTGCTGGTGGTGGGAATGATGCTGGTGGTGGGAATGATGCTGGTGGTGGGAATGGTGCTGGTGGTGGGAATGGTGCTGGTGGTGGGAATGATGCTGGTGGTGGGAATGGTGCTGGTGGTGGGAATGGTGCTGGTGGTGGGAATGATGCTGGTGGTGGGAATGGTGCTGGTGGTGGGAATGATGCTGGTGGTGGGAATGATGCTGGTGGTGGGAATGGTGCTGGTGGTGGGAATGGTGCTGGTGGTGGGAATGGTGCTGGTGGTGGGAATGGTGCTGGTGGTGGGAATGGTGCTGGTAGTAAGAATGAATGAATGGTAGAAAAATTGCCATCTACTGTACACAAAGGTTTAAATATAATTTACAATAAAAAATACTTATATGTCGTACCTTATAGCCAGAATGCACTACTCAGCCTAGTATGCAAGGCTGAGTAGTGTTCTTCTTATGTTTTTCTTCACTGTTCAAGAGTGAAGAAAAACGTATGAAATACTGTGAAGATTCGTGTTAGAATTATTAATCGTATCCTTTCAGTCATATTCAACAACATATGTTTACAAGAAAGACTGCTACTAAAATAAATAAATAAATAAATAATTATATATATATAATATATATAATATATATAATAAATATATATATATATATATATATATATATATATATATATATATATATATATATATATATATATATATATATATATATATACATACATACATACATACATACATACATACATACATACATACACACACACACATACACACACACACACACACACACGAGTGAATGGCTTTCAAGATTACATACCTGTACCATAAAGCATAGAATTATATTGTTTTTCATGAAAGTACTGTACATGTGAAACTGATAGTAAAATGAAAAAAATATAAATAGTTAACAGAAGTGCACTGTATTGAGAAACACCTAAATCTGCCAGTTATAATATGACAACAATAGATTGTTCCTTAGTGCTCAATACATAAATTTGAAGTCAAAAGCAATGATTATGTTAAAGTGTGCATTCCTTATTTACAACATATATTACATAATTATTTTCCAATCTGCTGTAACTTAAAAATTCTGTCATGTTAAAAGATAATGAGTTTCTAAAAATAATAAAGATGACATCATAAATGCTATACATGTGTGTATATGTATAAAAGAGAGTCGATAATAACCAGAAGATCAACCAAAATAACAGGCTACAGTGTGTCCGTTTTACTACTAAAGTGTATTAATATAGTGCTTGGCCCCCATAATAATAAGTTATTATATTTTGAAAATATTATAAATAATTATTTACCATTTCAAAGGTTATATTATTTAAATAATTTGTTATAATATAGCAGTTCAACATACAATGAAGTATTTTTAAAATCACTGGAACATTATTACTACAGTATTTATTTACTATTAGGCCTTTCAGTTTTTATTTTAACAAAAGGAAATTTTGTTAAAATATAGGATATTTTAAAGGTGGATATTCTGTGGAGGGATACATATTCTCAAAAATATCATATCCAAAGTAATATTCTAACATATGTCGATATGAACTAAAAAATCTTCTCCTGCACTCTGTACTTAACCTTGAAACATCTGTATAGATACATCTCTCGTAATTATCATTTAATCGCTTCAAGCAATCCTTAAGCATGGGCTCCTCTTCATTATTAAGTTGAAGTTCTCTAGATAATATTTTCCACTGTTTCAGTTTATCTATCTTTGATATCAAATCTTCTTCTGGTTTAGGCATGAACTGCCTAATGAAATCATTTAAAGTTACAATGGAAGATAAATTTTTAATTTCTTTATTTCGACCCATCATCTCTGTTTCCATTTTAGCCCTTTTATTATCACTTAAAATTTGTTTTGAAATACATGATGATTCTTTAATGATATTAGGACACTGCACATGTTCTATTTGTTTTTGGCGGGAATATACTGAACTAGTAGAAGCATTTTTATCTACATTAGAAAGTGCATTTTCCTCTGAATTTGCAGATGCATTTCTATACGGACCAGGAAATTCACTTATATATGGACCAGATATTTCCCTTATATATGGACCAGGTATTTCACTTATATATGAACCAGGTATTTCACTTGTATATGGACCAGGTATTTCACTTTTATATGGACCAGGAAAAACATTTTTATGTGTACCAGACAATGCACTTTTACATGGACCATGAAGTGGCTCTTCCTCTGAATCTGCAGATGAATTTTTATTTGAACTTGTAAAGATCTTTCTCTTTAGGCCCTGGTAAACATTTTCCCCCACATAATTGGACAAAGTTTTCTTCAAAGGTTGAGGGATAAGTGGAGCTTCAATGATTTGCTTTTTATTCTAAGAAAAGAGATGAATACTTATTAATATCACACATTTATATAGAATATTAGTTATGTCTGCAAGAAATTACATACTTTATTCTCACTTACAAACCATGATACTGCATATGTTCACACTCTCCTACTCTTGTTGTTCCTCTTCCACTCCTCACAGATAGTTCTCATTTTCACTTCCAAATAATTCAATATAAAAAGAACAATTTATCAAAATCCTCAAGGAATGAGAGGGAAATGACCACGTGGCCTGGATATATCCCAAATTAAAGATACAGGATCACCCACAAAAAGTCTGAATAAAAAAAAAAGGTAAAAAAAAGTAAAAAAAAAAAATTAAAAATAAAAAAATAAATAAAAATATGAACTGAATTGTAAACTTCATATAGTCTGAGTAGAAGTACAGTTAAACATACATACCTGTACAATACATTATTATTACCCCACTTTCATGGGAGTTGGGAGACATCAGTCAAGAAAAAGAAATTAAACACATCATCTCAATCAAAAGGTTCCTGGTTTTATTTCTGTGCTGTACGAGATGTTTGGGCATGTTTCCTTGAACCTATTTCACACAGCAGTAAATATGTACCTGGCAGTTAGGCAACTGTTGTAGAGCATACTGGAAAAGGTCAGTTAGCCTAGGGAGACCGCTAGGAACCTAACATGCTTCGTTTACCCAATACATAAACAAACACCGCCACATTCCAATAATCATCTACAGCAGCATCCACTCTGTCATAAGACCCTGTGTTCGGTGATCCTTGTTAATTGTGCAATACAGTACAGTACATGAATATTTTTATCAATAACACATCCAACACTTCAATACCATAACTTTAATCCACATTCAATTTTTACATTCTTCTCACACACACACACATTAATATTGGGGGGGGGGGGGGGGGGGGGGGGGGGGGGTGTTTTGGGAAAATATATAAAAATATTGGGGGGGAAAAAAAAGGCAATCTACTGCAGACACATCAGATGTACAGTGGTTCTACTGAAAAGTGCTCAGTCCATATCCTAATTACATGAAATTAAGTAAATGGTAAAAATAAAAGAACTTACTAAGAATTTGTCTGCAAGTATTTGATCACTGACATCCTGCTTTTCTCTCCATGCTGAAAACTCGGCAACATACTTTTCCTGTCTCTGAAGATGAACGCTATATGAGCACATGCATTCACCTGATTAAAGCTACTTGATTTAAAAATTTTCTTTAGTTAAATAGAATAACATTCAAAAGCTAACCCTTTACAACAGGTTTAACCAGTATATAAATGTATTATATAAAAAGTGGGAAATCTTAAATCTATATAAATAAAAATTTAAATGTTCGTTTGTTCAAAATCTTACATCTCAGAAAGGTCTTCACCAACTGCTTTGAAATTTTAACACAACATTCCATTCAAATGCGTGCGTGCTTTTATATACCTACTACTGTATAATGATGTTATACCTATGACAGGTAAAACTTTTTTTTTAACTGTTTTTCATGTGAGGGAAATCTCCAAAAGTGATTCACCGATTGCTTTGAAAATTTGACACACCTTTGCATTCGAATACACACGTGTTTTTATATACCTACTACAGTATATAGACATCACACCTGTGACAGGTAAAAAATGTTTTTTAAACAGTGTTTTTAATGTGAGGGAATGGTGGGGAGGACGAGGGGACATCGGGAAGGGGGGAGGGGGGGATGGTGGGGAGGACGAGGGGACATCGGGAAGGGGGGAGGGGGGGGATGGTGGGGAAGACGAGGGGACGGGAGGGGGGATGGTGGGGAGGACGAGGGGACAGGGGAGGGGGGGAATGATGGGGTGAACAAGGGGACGGGAAATGGTGGGGAGGACGAAGGGACAGGGGAGAGGGGGAATGGCGGGGAAGACGAGGGAATGGGAAGGGGGGGAATAATGAGGTGAACAAGGGGACGGGAAATGGTGGGGGAGGGTCGGGAGTTCTAGAGTCGGCAAGCCAGACAATTTCTATATCTCTACAGATAATGGAACAAAAAATATTGTATACACACAAGCATTGTGAAATTAAACATATTAGAAACATGCGCTTAAAATTTTCTTTCTTTTCCATTTAACCAGACTGAGCCACAAAAATGCGTGGCCGGGTACAGCTAGTTGGTAATAAATTTTGAAAAGGATCTATAATACAGTATCCTCCATTATTTTAATACCACTCTTAAGTAAATATTTTATTAAATGACACTACTGTATTTAAGATATTTTTTTATCTGACAATATAAAAACTACAAACCTCCTTAGATATTCTTCTGTACATCTCCTTCTCATCAGGAGATAATTTTCTGAAGTCCTCAGAGGCATAAAACTGTCGCAGCATTGCCTGGACATTATTATACTTGCCTTTCTTGAGCATTTCATAATAGTAACACAAGAAAGCCGTTCTTGGTGGGCGAGATGGCATTCCAATGTACCTGATGGTCAATGAAGTATTTGAAAATGTACTATAAAATAAATTAAAATTATTAATACATGTACTGAATGGATATGGTACACTGAAATTGATAAGAGTGCTGAGATAAGAGGGCCTATATATACATATATACAGTAATGTAATTCCTATTATTAGACAAGCATTATTTTTATTTAATTATACCCAAATAGGTTATGTGATCACTTTTTTTTCCTATTTTACACTACCAGGTATAGTACAGTATATTACAAAAGTTAAATGATGATAGTAGAAGTTAAATTTCATATAATTTTAACACTTACCTCAGGTACATTTCACTCTCTTCTTTACTGGGTCCTCTTCTTATATTACAAATCCACTCAGGATGTCTTTCACGATACTTGGAAGCTTCAAGCTGGAAAAAATGAATAACATATCCAGATATGGTACTGATATACATGTACTATACAGTATAAATTGGCACTACATCTTTTAATGTACAGTGGGGCCTCAACTTATGAATTTAATCTGTTCCCAGAGATGGGTCGTAAATAAAAAATTTGCAAGTCGAAACAAATTTTCCGATAAGAAATAATGTAAATTGAATTAATTCGTTCCACACCCCCAAAAACATTAACTTAAAAATGCATTTTGTACCGAATAACACTCATTTTGAACTAGCTACAATACAGTACTGTATGTATATCTTACCTTGAATGAGGACTCTTGTTGGCGTATGTAAGACGGTGAGGAGGAGGGGAGGAGGAGAGGTGTTAGTGTTAGGAAGGGGAGTTCCCTTCCATTATAACATCAGGCAGTGATGACTTTTCTGGCGTACTCTCTCTCCTACGTTTTGCCTGCATACCACTAGGACCTGCTTGTGGCTCACTGCTTGTTTTCTCACTAAAAACCTGTCTAGCGACACTTGTTTTTACCTACATTGTAACACTTGTCTGACGTGAGACATCACATTGTCATTAAAAAGGTTAACAAAACGGCCTACTACAGCTTGATTTGGGTGACACTTTTCAGCAAAAACTTTGCAATTCTTCCCATACTGCACACATTTTTTTTCATAAATGAGGAAGGGACATCCTCCACTACATCAACAACCCTCATACCATTTTCATGTTTACAAATGATCTCTTGTTTTTCCTCTATGGTCATCCTCACGTGTGTTTTCTTAGGTTGAACCTTACCACTGACTTTCTTGGGACCCCATGGCATGATATATAACAATTACTTTTATGTTCAAAAAACAAAAAAGCACAAAATAATGAAATTCTTTACAAGCACGATCGTCACTAAGCGAGCGGCTCTGGTAAACTGAGGTGGGATCGGCCGTGCCACCAGGAAACCACGTGGTCGACCCATACGCATATCAACAAAGTCACTAGTCGAGGCAAAGGTCGTAAGTCGAGTCGCATTTTCCGACGAAATTTACATTGTAACTCAAAAAATTTGTAAGTAGGAGCAGTCATAAGTCGAGGTGCCACTGTAGTTTAGTTTTTACATCTTTAATGTAAACACGGTAAAAGATCTTTCTATCCAGAGTTACCGTTAATCCCATCAATTAAGTTTACAGTTGCAGTAGAGCAGGGCTAATGAATATCACTCTTGGATACAATGATACATAAAATAGGAAGAACTTTTAAGGTTAATTATGTACAGAAAACCTGATGATGCATGTTTTTACATGTATTATTATGCTAACCATCACAAAAGGGTGAACCAACCAGTGTTACTGTCCATGTTTCTTAGGGCACATCATATTTTAAGTTCCCAGTTTGTTGATGAGGAACTATGGAGCCCAGGGTCGCCAAGGCCACCTCTATGTGGCCTTGGGTCGACTTCTAGGCTGTTGGTTTCTTTGTTGTGATACCTGCTGTGCTCCCTCCTCCCTGGTTTGTGCCCATTTCTTTCTTCTCTGTGGGTAGTTAGCTTTAGGGAGCCACAAGAAGCTCCCCCCAGGAAAATAAGTGTTGAATGTAATGAAAGCCGGCATGAGAGGTCTGGGACTTTCCCTTCCGGGAAGCGGGGAGCTGTGCAGACAGCGGCGCGGTGACGTGTGACGTCATACAAGTTTGCTTGTTTTCTGTTGGGGAGTTCTATCCACTAGCTCAGCTTTTGGTAGCAATTTTAATCAGAATAAGGGTTTGTTTTGGAATGCTTACCTTTCTGGATGCTTCACCCGGTCAATGGCAGACATAGAATGCTTCCAACCACACGGGGGTTTCTATAGGCCATTGCTCCCCTTGCCTCTCTGAGAGGGCCAGGTTCTGGCCGTAGTCCCCAGTAGGCCCTAGAACTCCATACACATGACTGTTGCCAAAGTCTAACATAAGCATATCAGTCTGGTAAAGCTCCGGGGAGCCTCCGGGTCTCACCCAGAAAATGGCGTTTCATTACATTCAACGCTGGTTTTTTGAGCCTGCAGGTCTCGAAGGCAGCCAGATGTGGTTTGTTTTGACTCGCTGACTTTCTGGATGCCTTCCTCGGTGGTGGCATAAATAATTGAATATATAAATGCCACAGGTCCCTTCACCTCTGTGAGAAAGGGCCCAATGCCAGAACTAAGTTCTGGCATTGGGTTCCTGGTAAGCCAGAGAACTCTGCAACTGATGGCACCTGCATCAAAGATGGTAGCTTCAGGGAGCCACCAGGGCTCGCCCAGAAATTGGCATTTCATTACATTAACACTTTTTTCTGTGGGAAGCCCCTACGGCTCCCTGGAGTTATCAGGCTGATATGTGTTGTATTATTAATCTGGGGCATGAGTCAATTGGAGTTCAGCCTACCAGGGACCATTAGACAGAACCTGGGTCCCCCCTTGCAGAGGCAAAGGGAGTAATGGCCTATGGAAACCCCATGTGGTTGGGGGCATTCCATGTCTGCCACTGACTGGGGTTGGCACCCAGAAAGGTAAGCATAAGAAAACAAACTCCACTAGGTAAGAAAATGCTACTGAAAACCAAACAGGGAGTCAGAACTTATCCTACAACTTAAGGAAACAAGCAAATATCACACCTCACTGCCTGTCTGGGCAGCAGCCCCCCTTCCCCCTGCCAGCAACCCAAGCCATTCAGTTTGTTGGCTGATGTTGTCTGGGGCAGATGTTGATTCTGGCCTCAGATTCCAGTACAGTTGTGTGCCTTAGTGGTGTGTTTCTGCTGTGTGAGGCATGGTAGCTAGGTGTACTTTGAATAATACTGGGGCTGCATGCATTTAGGGTTCTCTTCCTTGGATGCCCTGTTAAGTACAACCCTTGGGTTCTATGGGTTGCCTTCCATAGAACTTTCGAGAACTGCTTCTGTAGGGATCTTTGCCGCTTGGCTCTTACCCTGCCCTTGGGACCAGCTGGGGTTTTCGTGGCTTTTGTTTGGCCTTGGGTTGGAAGTGGTATCATTTGCTGGTACTGAGTAGCTCGCCTACCTACACGGTGGCTGGTTTCTGTTCCTTTTGGAGACGTTTTCCTTTTACTGGGTTTTTCTTATATTTTTGTTTTCTTGCATGGAGGGGTGTCTGCCTGGTTTGGCTATTGGTCCATTTCTTTTATTTGGGAGGCCATGTGACAATCTAGGCCGTGTCACAGGATTGGACACGTCGCAGGGGTTCAGCCTTAGCAGATTCCCTTGTTAGTTTGGGCCCAGCCAGTTTTGCAGTACCTTGCCTTAGCTTCCCTTAACAGTCAGCCTGTGGGCCCTGGAAATCAACATTGGGGCTCATTAGACCTAAGGATGCATCTTCTGAGTTCCACCTCACCTCGTGTGAGTTTGAAAGTTGCTGTGTGCTCTTGTCTTAGGGTGACAGTCACTGTTTTTGCCTCCGTCGTGCTGCCTGTTGGGTCACCAACACCTCTGACCCGGAGTCTTGCGAATCGTGCTCTGTTTGCTTTCCAGTTTACGCATTCTGATGATATTGATATTCTAATTCAGGCAGCATCCACGTTGCATGCACGGTTTAAGTTGCTGCAGCGCACTAGGTTGGTTGCCTACCCAAATGCCCTAAGGCTGCCCCATTTTAGTTATAGGGACCTGAACCTGGGAGCGTTAGTCGTTTCGACTTTGGTACAGTCTTGCGTTCCCTGGTCCTTCCCCTGTTGTTCATCCTGTTCCCCCTTCCCTGCTTCCGGCTCCCAAACGTCTGAGGGTTTCAGAGTCGGGGCAGAGTTTAGTTGGTATTGAGACTAGGGCAGCTTTAGAGGCTGCCCCATTTGGGTTGGGGACGATGGCATTCGAACCGGTTCCTCCTGCCGAGGCTTCTCGGTCTCACCAGCAGGCCCCCCTTGTTTTCTGCATTTCCGCCTTGACTCAGTCCCGGGTCCTGATTTGGAGAATTCCGGGACTGGGGAGAAGTTGACTTAAAAGGGCTTGGGCCATATTTGACCTCACTTGGGTGCTGGTGCCCTCTTCGCAGGACTTGTTATTGCAGGGGAAGGGGTTTTCTTACACCCCCCCTTTCCCTGTGTGAGTATGATTTGGGGTCGGCTCCTCCCCGGGTTTGGTTCCGGGTTCCCTTGGGTTCCTCGGCTCTCTCTTTCCAGAGGTTTTTTGCCACTTGTATCTCATCAAAGGAGGTTCAGGAGTTGCTTGCTGCTTATCTCCTGCGAGACCCCGGATTTTTATTCTGTGATGGATCCTTCCTTGTTTGAATTCGGTTCTTCTTCCCCATTTTCACTTTCACTTTGATGTCCACAGGGCTTGGAAAAGATGGCAGGGAAAAGAAGGATGAGACGGTGAAATTCTTGGAAGAGGATCTGGATGTGGAGAGAGGAGGCTTGAAAGTTCGGTGGCCTTTCCACCTTGGGTTGGAGATGTGTTTTCGGTCATGGCTGAGTTCTTCTTAAACAGCAGAAGGCTAGTGGTGAGGTGGGTAGGTGTTGCCCTGGTTCAGTTTCTTCCCCATATTGGGTGCGTTTGGAGGTTCCGGAGTTTTCCGCAGCTGGCAGACTGCCTATTCTTTTCACTGGGGGCGTGGCATGGGTTCTGTCAGACCAACATGCTTGAGTGGTGAGAAAATTATACCGTTCTGCAGGTTTACCTGGGGGTGAGTTTGAGCACCTTAATGCGTGCTTGTTCACCCTTGTGATTCCACTGGATTGGCCTGGTGCAGCTGCACGTGCAGTTCCACCCTTTCGGCGTCTTTGGTTGCCAAGGATTTGTGCGCCCGTGGGCCTCAATTTTGCACTTCTTTTCCTTTTTCAAGCTGGTCTCGATCTGGCTTGAGGAGGATATGGGAGCGTTGAGTGCCGAGCCTTTATCTGGTGCGCTGGCCTTGGCGGCTAGGATTTCAACCCCACTGTTGAAACTGTTTGCGCCGATTCTCAAGGAGGCTGCGTTTGTTCTCTGCTTCTCGCCTCATGTGCCGTCAGACTTTGCTCACTCTCTCTTTGGAATCTGCTTGGGCCTGGCTCTTAGGTTATCGTCACCATTTTTTTTTTTACGGAGACTGCAGTCACACAGTTTCTGCAGGCGGCTTTTTCTAGTTGTCGTCCTATGTCGGACTTGTCGGTTCTCCGGGGTGGCTGTTCTCGGCCTTCTTAATTAAAAGGGTCGTGCCAGAGCTTGGGGGCTCCTCCTGTAAAGGTGGCCATTGGTGCCCGTTTCTGAGTTGACGTTGCCTTCAGAGCCGGCATCTTGGGATTCGAGTTTTTGCCTACCTCGACGAATAGTTGGTGTGGGCTCCCAGTCGGTCTGCTTGTCTGCTCACCAGGGGTGTGGTTCTTTCCCAGCTTGCTGGGTTCAGGTTCCTGGTGAAATGGAGGAAGTCCCATCTGGTTCCGCCCCAGGGGTCTTGTGTGGGACTCCTTGTCTTTGCCGGACCGCTTCTTTGTCTTTCCCTCCAGAGTCATTGCTGCGGCTGCAGTGCTGCCTTCAGCTGTTTCGGGGGAGGGACGGGGGAATCCGAGACACTCAGAGGTTACTCGAGCAGTTGTGCATAAGTCTGAACTTCGCCGTGCTGGTTTATCCACCGTGTAGGTTTGGCTTCGGCGTGGTCACAGTGTCTCCCAATATTTGTGTGGTGTCATTCCTCGACAGCGAGGCCGTCGCAGTAGATGCCTTTCAGTAGGACTGGTCGAGGAGCGGTTACCTGTACCTCTTTTCCCCGGTTCAGCTGTTGCTTTGGGTCCTGGCTTGTTGAGAGACTTACCAGGAGGAGAGTAGTCCTGTTGGCCCCTTGGTGGATGGCCCAGCCTTGGTTTCAAGCACGGCTTGCTCGGTGTCCAAACCCGCGATGTTTTCTGCGGCTCCGCTTTCAGCAGATCGGTCCAGTCAGGTACCTGGCTGATTCGGTCTTCTCTTCCACTCTTCGCGTCTGGTTTTTTTTCATGTGGGTCTATCACCATTTGTATGGTGATCAGGTGGCTTTGTTTATGGTGTTCCACCTGCTAGTTTCGTCTTGGTGACAGTACTGTATGAAATTTCCTGGCCTTCTTTCAGCCATTTTATCTCTCTTCGTAAGTTGTCTCCTGTTTCTGATTTGGTTGTCTTGTCTTTTCTTTCTTGGCTTTTTCAGGACGGTCATTTGATGCCAAATACTGTCGCCTCATATGGTGCGGCACTGGCGAAGCCGCCCTTGCTTGCATTTGGAGTGGATGTCCCTTCGGCCCCGTTTCATAAGCAGTTTTGTGCTTTGTTTCACCTCCGGCCTACTCATGCACCGCCTGAGCCGTCCTGGTCCTTGGACAAGGTGCTCTCTTTTCTATCTTCACCTCAGTTTGTGGTGGCCCCTTTAGTTCACGATTATTTTTCCAAAGCTCTCTTTCTGTTGGCATAGACCTCTTGGGGTCAAGTTGGTGAGCTTCATGTTCTCCTCTGGCAGGGGTTTCTGCTCTTTTGGTCCTGGTGGTAGGTTTGTTCGGTTGCAGCCTCCTTTTCTGGCGAAGAACGAGAAGAATGAGTTCTTCGGCCGCTTCAAAAGCAGCCAAAGAACGGCCGCTTTGCAAAGAAGTCCTTGGGTAATTGATACTTGGTTGGTCAGGCCGGGGATGCATCATGTTTTGTGTCCGGTTGCGGCTCTTCGTCGTTACTGGCACACCTGTTTATGGGGATACACTTTGGGTTAATCCGGTTTCCCTTGTTCCTTGTTCCAGGACACAGGGAACAATTGAGCTTTGGAACTCGGCTCAGCTGAGTTCCCCATCTGCAGGGTCATTGAATCTAACCAGCCTGTGGTCTCTCCTCATGCCCACAATGTTTGTAAGTTTGCTGCTTTTACTGCCCTCTCCGGCAATATGTCCTGAGTTGACATTCAGGTGCGGGAATTTTGGAGGCCGACCAGGGTCCTGGATGCACGTTATCTCGTCAACGTTCCTGGTCCTAGGCACCCATGTGTGGCTTTGGGTCGCAGGTTGCAGCCAGCTGTCTCGACTTGGAGTTGAGAAGCGAGTGCTGTCTGCCTCCCGGGTAAGTCACTCTTTCCTTCTCTTTGGTGATATAGCTCCAGTTAGCTGTAGGGCTCTTTCACAGAAAACCAGTGTTGAATGTAATGAAACACCATTTTCTGGGTGAGCCCTGGAGGTTCCCTGGCAACCCTCCCTCCCTCTGGTTGGCAGTTTCATTTCCTTTTTTGATGCTCAGCCTCTGACTGGCTTGCTTGGGAAGCTGGTGTGGGGAGTCTGGGGCTCTCCCTCTCCTCCCCATTCTGAGGGGGTAGTTGCATGGACAGACGGCGTGGCGGTGAGGTGTGACATTTAGTTGTTTCCTTACGTTGTAGGATGAGTTCTGTCTCCCTATTTGGTTTCATGGTCCCATTTTCTTATCAAATGGGGTTTATTTTGCTATGCCTACCTTTCTGGGTGCCGATGACAGTCATGGAATGCCCCCAACCACATGGGGGTTTCCATTAGCCATTGCTCCCTTTGCCTCGCTGATGGGGCCCAGGTTCTGGCTTGTGGTCTCTGGTAGGCTAAACTCCAATTGACTGATGCCCCAGACAAATATAACACATATCAGCCTGATAGCTCCAGGGGGAGCTGTAGGGGCTCACTCAGAAAATGGCATTTCATTAATGTACATTCATTGCTGTTTTTTTTTATCAAGATGCTCTTCATTTTATATGACATGTCTTTATATACAAATTTTATACATGAGGGTCCACTCAAATTTATAATATTAAAAAATTAATGCTTACCTCATAAATGTAAAGATCCTGAGCTGATAAACTAATGTATTTTAGTTTTTTTGCTGGGCTAAGAGAGAAATATTTTGCTTTCATTAATTTCTTGAACTCCAAGTTTTTCATCTTATTCTTTGCACACTGATGATTATAAAATATCTGAAAAAATTTAAAATTATTTAATTAATATACTGTATAATCACAAACATTGTACATATTGTCACAAGAATCTCCCTAGAAAAGGAGATTGAGCCTATTCCATCATCACCTGTTCAACCATGTAACGTCTGCATCTTCAAGAATAGAGAATTAACAAGCAAGAACGACAACAACTATACGTCTAGACAAGAGTCAACCACTCCACCCCACCCCCCCCAGCACATATGGTGTCTCCAGGATCACGCCACTAGCTGGTGAACAAGCAACTTAATAGTTCGCACCTGCCGGCTTCCAATTATCGAGACAACAGGGCCACCTGGACGGTCATTTTCCTGTATATATAGAAGCCAGTCAGCCTCCACCAGTCGGAATATTCTCAGTGCTCAAACCTGCTGGAAATACTCTCACACTACCCTGTGTGGTGGTAGATTTACGCAGCCTAGTACTGTACCCAGTATTCAGTATTTTCAGCACCATTTATTTCTTGTTCTCTAACGTAACGTTAACTTGTCTGTTTGATTGTTTTTTTTCATTTTGCACACTGTAATAAAGCCAAGTCTTGGAGGAACTATTTTTATTTTTGTAATTTTGTTAAAGTTATTTTTTTCCAGTAAAGTATTTAAAATTTTCCATTCTTTGTACTTTATCCTGCAGTTGCTACACAGTGAAGCTGTCAACATAGCAGTTTTATTTGAATTTGTTTTACTTTTTTGTTTTATTTATATGTGCTTTGCATTCCATCTGCCCTAAGCCACTGCTCCTAGTCCTTTTACCATCACATTATACAATACAGTACTGCAGGCCTATTAAATACCACTTAATTCAATGGATAATTAAGGCATGAACAGTTCCCATGAGCCAGAGCCTAGGATTCTACCTCAGGATTTGTATCACTGTCAACATCCTTGTATCCCACCATGGTAAGGAACATTTAATATGGTCTTTTCACATATATTTAATTTAATTTTCATATATAAAGCTATGGAGCATAAAAATTAGGATTTTTTTTTTTAATGTCCAAGTGAATCCAGTACCCAATGTGAACTGCTAACTCATGGTGAGTAAACTCAGGAAATAGCAGAACATAAGCTATTGGCACCTGAACATAAGCTTGGCACCAAACAATAGAGGCTTAGCTTGAAAGTAGTCAGGCCAGATCAGGAGCATGCCCAACTGAAAATAACTGAAGCAACTAAATAATAATCAGTTGCATGAAAAGGCCACGGGCGATCAGGGATTGATGACGTTACGCACGAACTTACGGATCCCATTTTACTTTTTTCCCAAAAGTTTACTTTTTGTTAACATATCCATACTCTAGGAAAGGTTTTTGACACTTTAAAAAAAGCAAAGAATTTTTTTCCTGCCCACTGGGGGAGGGGGGGTTTGCGCCGTATTTGGAAGCTGAGAAGCCCAATGGTTAATCCTATGTTCCCTGGAATACGACCCGCAGAATCGTTTAACAACCAGGTACCCATTTTACTGTTGGGTTAAACAGAGGATACAGTTAAGGATTGGCGTCCAGTAAATCCTCCCCGGCCAGGATACAAACCCAGGACAATATACTATTTACTATTACCGGAAGATACAATTTGATGTAGTAGTTCATCAAGTACAATATCTGCAAATTATTAATTAAAATAAAATTGAAGGCAATAGTACATGCTTGCATAATTTCTTTTTAATTACCAATAAGTTGTATGTAGATAAAAAGCTCTCATAAAATATAAACATTAAAACAGTACTTACCTCAAATGGTGATTTTGGAATACAAGGTGGTTCATCATTTCTGGAATTAAAAATAAATACTCTAATAAATATTATTTACTACATTACTCATTTTCTTTATATCATAGACAGTGTCACTGTAATAAGTTCAAACTGGAACTTTAACCCTTAAACTGCACAAAACGTCATATGATGTGTGACATTGAGCTGGGTATTTAAAATTTTCTGAAACTTTTTCAAATGTTTTGTGCATAATCTACTAGGCAAATGCTCCAACTTTGTCTAAATGATACCAGTGTAACTTGAAAAACAAGAAAATAAAAAATAATTATAAAATTGAATATTGGAAACTTCAGATTTTGAAATCAGCTGCAAAAATATAAAATGCCACCAATTGTTCATTTGGTGTTATTATACTCTCAGAATAGCATATGATCTTCATTTTTATATATTTAGAATATAGGTTTTCAGTATAGTTTACTGTAAAAAAATTTCGGACAGTACGGATGTTCTACTGCTATAATATAGTGTACGTGTTCATTATACATAGGATTGGCACGAAAAAACAAATAAAATGTATTTGGAACTGTGTGCAAAAAAATTAACAAAAATATATTTGTGGCAACTCGCGCATCTTGACCCGAGCGCCCTACTGGCCCCGGGAGCGTATGTCGCATCAATCCGACCAGGGATTGACGACGTCACGTGCGAACTTATGGACCCCATAGCGGCCAAAGTAAGTACAATTTAAACTTTTTGTTAACATATCCATACTCAGGGAAGGGTTTTTGACACTTTCAAAAAAACACAGAATATTTTCCAGAGAATTTATTTACTGCGCACTGGGGGGAGGGGGTGCCATATTTGGAAGCCGAGCAGCCCAGTGGTTAAGGCCATAAGGCAGGCAGCTTAACTACTGTGCTGTGCCGAGTTTATTGTGAAATTCCCCCTGTGTGCATTAAATAAAGTGTTCCCAAAAAATTCTTTTTCTTCGTAAAATGATAAGTTCCCTTCCCTGAACATGTCTATGTAAAAATAAATACCAAATTCCACTTACTTTGGCTGTGGGGACTTGGACAAGGTGCGCCATGACGTCATCAGGGCCTGGTCGCCCGTGCGTGACTCGCCCAGACACGGTCGCGCAGGTCATTCAGGCACCGGGTGTTGCCACAAATATATTTTCAATTATTTGTTCTATGTATTTCCAATGCGGTTTTATTTGCTTTTTTATCGTATATGATGCATATTTGTGACCTTTACAATATATTTACAGTAGAACGTTCATAATGTTCCATCAAACTGTGATCCATGTGTCAGTAATGTGCCCACAATAAATGTTTATTGTAGCAATATTACGTGTTAAAAATTCACTAAAATTACAATATGTACAGTTTCACACACTATTTACACAGTAAAACACTGTATTACACAGTCAGTACTTCGGAAGTGTGTAATAATCAACGAAGTAGTCCATGGTACACAGCGTGACTTCGCTCTCATTGCACCAGGTACAGATAGATTTTCGCTTCCTGTTTCTTCGCTCTTTGTGCTTGCAAATAACGAACTCACGTACACCCTTGACATTAGTACCTGTAGGTGGTATGTAGCCAAGCTTGTAAAATGTAAGGTAGTCTTGAAAAGATTACAGGAAAAGATCAATTTGTAAGGAAGTCGTGAAAAGATTGCTTTGTAAGGTCCCACACAGGAAGAGATTCAGCCAGCTTCAAAGAGTGTCCATCAGTCTGTAAGAGATTCAGCAAGTCTCAACGGGTGTCATTCAGTCAAGAAAAAATTCAGCTATTCTTGAAAATATCAATGGAAAACACCACCATGGAAGCCGCTAACACTGTTCATCTATGCTACTTGTATCAAATGCATCATCACTGAATGCAGAAAACGATTCATCTATGTATCATCTAAATAAATTGGAGATTGCATAGCATAGGTGGGCAAAGAAGGCGCTCAGAGCTACAATTGAATACGCTCGCTGTATCGTCCTCATAGGTGCTGGATAACTTGCATCCGAGCCTTGTGTTAGGTCCTTATTGCGCATAGCTTCACCAATATTATGACCCTTATGTTCTTCAAACAATAAAGTTTGAATTTCACTGACAGCGCGCGATCTTTCAACACCACATCGGACAGGTGTTTGGGAGCCAGAGGCGCGTGCATCACCCATGATTGCTCACTCAGTACTAACCCAGCCAGCAGCCCTAGGGCATTCTGGGATTTTTTCCAAGATGGCTGCCTCTCACTGGAGGTCCTAAGAGTTCATTTCGTACACAACCAACCTCGCACACATTTAGAATGGATATGAAAAAATCAAAAAGAGTTTTCTCGGTTAGCACAGTTTGCCACCTACCGAGAATACTTGGTTGGCGCAGTTAAGTGGTTAAGGGTTAATCTGTCAACGCCTCAACTTTGCCAGACTTCCCCGCCCTATTGCAGCCAAAATATGTCATCTACGATTTTTTTTATTTTTTTTTCCTGTGATCGGGAAACACAAATGAACACTTTCATAAGACGAAAAAAACTAAAATTTGAATTTTGTTATTTATTGCATCTGGCAATGTTGAAGGCTCTTAGCAGAGCAGCAGAAGGGTTAAGGGTTAATCTTAATTTTCCTCGGTATACGACCCATCCAAGTGTTTAACAACCAGTTACCCATTCAATGCTGGGTGAACAGAGGTGTTCAGTTAAGGATTGCAACCCGTTCTCGCAAATTCGTAAAGTCAATATTCACTTATTAACTACGTGCATAGGTGATATACTAAACATAATAGATACCCTTAAAAAGATTCAAAGAAAACACCGACCTTACCTAACCTTGTTAGTATCTTAAGATAAGCATCTTATTGCTTCGTAATTACAATTATTACTTAACCAATACCTATTATAGGTTAGGTAATAATTGTAATTACGAAGCAATAAGATGCTTATCTTAACATACTAAGTAGGTTAGGTACGGTCGGTGTTTTCTATGAATCTTTTTAAGGGTATCTATTATGTTAAGTATGTCACCTATGCACATATTTAATAAGTCAATATTGACTTATTAAATTTGCGAGGATTGACACCTAGTCAATGCTCCCCGGCCTGGATACAAACCTAGAGCAAATTGCTTGTGAAGCTCGGGGCGAGTGTGTTGTGTTACTACTGCTCCATGGGGAACTGCTATTATTGCTACAGTTTAAAAATATACAAACCATGTTCTTCTTTGATTATGTTACCATGATGGCACTGTTATCTAATAAAAATTAGATAACTAATATGTTATCTAATAAAATTAGATAATAATTCAGACTGTAAAGTTATACAAAGTATAAACTTACGATGGGATGACATTCTTGTTAGCTTTGGTGACAAACTTAGCATAAGCATCCTTTTCTGTTGATGGTAAATTCTCCCATGCCTTATGAGCCGCAGAAAACAAGTTCTAGAAGAGAAAAAAATTATTATCATATACAGTACAAAAAGTAATTAAAAATCAGACGAGGGAACTTGCAAAAGGTATTACGGAGCCTAGCATATTTCACACACAAGGTTAATAAATGAGTAAAGTGCAATGACTACGAGGTGTGCAAGGGCCACTCGGATGGAGTAATAAATACATGGTTGTATAAGGAGTACAGAGGGTATAATAAACTAAGCATTGTGTGTAATTAATGCCCGTCTCTGGTAGGCCATTCAGTAGATTCCCGTAGATACAATACTGTAGATGCCAAGCATTACAGAATTGCACCAGACCTCTAGGACCAACTTGAATATAGATTGTTGGGTTGGGTTATTTTAGAGTTGGTGTCTTTGTGAGTGGTCAGTATGACCCCGTCCCTTTGGTGGGGTGCCCACCTGTTTCTGATCCCAAAACAGGATTCTCTGGATCACTGGTTCATCCTCGATCTGTATGGGTTGAGCTGGTACATTCCTTGCCCCTCCTTTTGGATGACCACATTGTTCTAGGTCTGTCTCGTTCTTCAATTGGGCATGTGGATGATTTCTCTGGACCTCCAGGACATGTTCTGGCATTTCCCTATATATCCAGGGTTCAGGGGAACGGTTTGGCTTTGTTGTGGGGCGATAGGCATACCAATTTCAGGTCCTGCTGCTTGGGCTTAACCTGGCTCCTCATGTTTTTACCTGTTTGGCTTGGGTTGAGATGTCTCATCCATGTCTTTTTGGTGTTTGGGTTCTGGCCTACAATCGATGATTAGCTGGTGTGGGCCCCCAGCTGGTCAACATGTCTGTTGTCCAGGGATCTGGTTCTTTCTCAGCTCGCCAGGCTCAGGTTTCTGATGAACTGGAGGAAGTCCCATTTGCTTCCGTCCCTGGTTCAGACTTGGCTAGGCCTTGTTTGGGACTCTCAGTCGACTTCGCTGTCTCTGCCTCCAGCAACTCCATCTGTTGGTGTTGAGTGGGCATTGGATGACTGGGAGGTTGCTCAAGCAGCTGTGCAGTAGCCTCAACTTTGCCCTCCTCATTTTACCCTCGGGCAGGGTTTGACTTCAGAGGCTGTTTTGGTTTCTCTGGAGAAACCAAAACGGCTGCAGCGGCTGCTCTTCTACTGCAGCCGCAATCACTGGGAGCACTTTGCCAGTTACTGCATTGCCAGCTTCCTCCTCGGGGTTTGGTTCCCAGGTGCCTTCCTCTGCCCTTGCTCAATGGCCTTGCAGAAGCCTCTGATCTCAGTTGGGGTTTTGTGACCAGTGTTCACCAAGCTGGTCTGGGGCCCCATGAGCCTACGTCCGGCTCACATTACTGTGCGAGAGTTTCCAGCTGTACTTGCCTAGTTGTGCTTGCAGGGGGTTGAACTCTTTAGTCCCGCCTCTCGACTGTCAATCAACTGGTGTACAGGTTCATGAGCCTATTGGGCTCTATTGTATCTACATTTGAAACCATGTATGGAGTCTACCCCCTCCACATCACTGCCTTGTGCATTCCATTTGTTAACTTGGGTTCCTGAGGCTCTCAACCAAAGCCTTGTATTTTCTATATCTATTTGTATCTATATTTTCTTGTCATAAAAGTCAAATTGGTCAACAAATATCTAAGAAATTAAGAGGAAGTTCTCCTACATTTTAATTTTATTTCTGCAATAGTGATCAAGAAAAGAAATTTACAACAAGAAATGTTGTAAATGTTATTAGGATAAAAAGTTTATGTCATAAAATGCATGAAAAATTGTCAAATTTTATATTAACAGATAAAACTTAATAATAGAAATTAAATACTTACCTTCGGCTCAATATTTTTATTAACTTTTAAAAAATTCTTTATAAACAAATTCTTTGGTTGTAAAACTAGATGTTTTGTTATCTCTCCACTGGCAATCTTCCCCTCCATTTCTGAGAGGAGCGCTGTCATAGTTCTGAAAATAACAAAAATAAGTACTGTACGTATAAATGGATTTTTTTCTTTTTAGCTAACCCAAAATCTGAAGAAAACACCACCATTCTATGCGACTATATTTTAACCACTACACTGTGCACGTTTATAAGTGCTCTCAGAGGTGTTAATTTTTTTATTAGGCTATATTTTAATGTTTTTTAATGTTTTCATTACTCTTTTGTGTTTTGAAATGGAAATACTGTAGTTGAGTTTTGAAACATTTTAACATTAACCTTACCTGAACATTTATAAAAATAACAAAAATATGTCCTTGACAATTGCACTAAGAAGTTTTTGCCAAAAACAGGAGGACAGTGCAGTGGTTCATACAACCAATAAGATGTAGCGTTGAAGTCATTGGTTGAAAGAGTAACAAAATCGGAAAAGTTAGAGACTAACACACACCTCGTTTAAACTTTTTGTATCGACATAAACTGTATATTATGTCATGTTTATATCAGAATTGATAAAGTTACATATCTCTATTGTAACTTTATCTTTAATATTGTTTTAATCTTTATTTATCATTATTGTACAAAAATACTGAAAAAAATAAGAATTACATTACAGACAATACTGTATTCATATCCATGGGGATGAAGAAATGAAAATGACAATACCATCAATAGCATTAGTAATGGCCTTAATAATTATAATTGTAATTGAAAAGACACTAAAATGAGCATTTATGAGCAACATTTATGTTGCTCATAAATGAATGTTCATTTATTAATATCTCAGTCTGCAAAACAGAAAAGTTCATCATACACATGATAAAAGTAACTATTAATAAATTTACCCGAGGCCTAATATTTATTTAGTGGCCATGATAGGGACAGGAAACTGGTAGTGGTGGTACATTTATGCCCTTTATGGTGGACAAATAAAGTGAAAAAAAGGGAGAAAGCATCTACAAAGATTAATCAGGTGTAGCGGGCATGGCATTTTGAGCAGTGTCTGCTTCGTGTTCCGGTCTTCTTCTTACTCTCATGGTGAGTAGAGTGAATAGTTCCATAATTTGGGTATTTATGGTGGATTGTTCTATTTTTATGTGGATTGCTTAGAGAATTTGTAATCTTCTTACATCTTGGGTTTTGTCTATTATACAAATGTTTCTATTCAACATTTCTCTTGTTAGGGTGATGTCATGGGCTTGTCTCATGTGATTTTCAGGGGCACGTGATTGAAGATGACAGGTCAAACGCCTCGTCAGCTTGGTCGACATCATACCTATGTACTTAGATTGAAGACTATATCCTTCGTGGGGGCAGGTGTAAATATATACCATGTTTGACTGCTGTAAAGGGTTCTCTGTCGGCTTCGGGCTGTTTTTAATGAGGAGGTCGGTAGTCTTCTTTGTTTTATAGAATATGATTAGGTCTTTGTTTTCATTAGGAGTTGTGGTTTTTACTCCTTTATGGATTATTTCTTTCATTATTCTTTCTTCTTTTTTATGTTTATTGTGCATGGTATTATCAGAACTATAATAAACTCTGTTTTCAGACAACATACAGCCCCTCTGTTTAAATCCCTAAACATGCTAAGCATACACTCACTCCACACATTTTCATGTACTATTTATACTTACAAAACCTTATTCCTTGATTCTAATCTGGATTTGAAACTCTTCTTTGATAGATGTATGTACTGTAACAGCACCCATGAGCATCACATCAGAAATAAATATCTCCCTGATAATTCCTATAGTCAGACTAAATCTGTGCAAGTACTCCATGCAAACAAAAGGATCCAGTATATGTAATTCACTCCCTAATGAATTAAAACATTGTTCAAATTATACTTTATTCAAAATTAAAACCAAAAGGTACTTCATCCTCATAGTTTCCCCACCTTGTGCTAAAACCAATTTAGTACTTAAAACAGGCAACTTCAAAGTATGATCTACTACTGTATATCAATTTGCAATGTAGTTATTATGTTGAATTAAAATTCTGTTACAATGATCCTATTATTACTTTAAATGTTTACCTCAAGGACCTGCCCAAAATGCTATGCATATTAGTGGCTTTACAAGAATGCAACACTTTCATTGCTTTTTCACCCATTGGGTAATAAATCCATAGAATCTTCTACCTGCTAAAGCGATAAATACCAAAATACTACACTAGTTCAAAATTCAACTGGACAAATCTTCAGGAATAAGAAAGACCCTTTGACATGCCCCCCCCCCAGCCTTCTTTCACTGTAAAGGCCACTAGAAATGGTGGACCTCAGGTAAAGTAAGTGCAGGTAACAACAATTAGGTAATACGTAACACAAAACTACAGAACCCAATGTGACTTACTTTGTTGCTCCAATTCTTTTCAGTAAAAATCGAAACTTTGTCTTACAGTCTTCAGCAGAATAAGGATCAAAAGCAACTTTCTCCCAATCGACACTCTTGACTGCAGCCCAACAGGACTTGTTCTTTACATTAGAGGCCATGTGATTCATTCTTTTAATAAGAGTGTGTATTTCCTTAATTGTCCAAGCCACAACATCTGGTGAAAAGTTACGAACTCTGAGACAAAGTTAAAAGTACAATTATACTTATGAACACTCATGTTATTGACCAAACCACACACTAGAAAGTGAAGGAACGACAACATTTCGGTCCATCCTGGACCATTCTCAAGTCGATTGTCGACTTAAGAATGGTCCAGGACGGACCGAAACGTTGTCGTCCCTTCACTTTCTAGTGTGTGGTTTAGTCAACATATTTCAGCCACGATATTGTGACTTCTCATCTGCACTCATGTTTTCATTCAAAATAGAAAAGTACAGCATTTACATAAAAAAGATTAACATTTTCTTATACTATACTGTATAAAAAAGCATAGTATATTTTTATAAAGCATAAACTAGCTCAAATACTGTATACACACACCATTATTATCATCACTACCAAATCTTCTCCCCCTTTCCTTAATGAAGAGTAGAGGCCCCCCTTGGGATGGGGAGGAGGGGGGGGGGTCGGTGACTGCCAGACTGCTAGTTCAGAGACTGACAAATTTAAACAAAACCGCCGACCGCAGGGAGGGAGTGCCAGGGAGCCCCCCGGGACTCTATCCAGAAAATAGCGATTCATTACATTCAACAATGGTTTTCTGTGGGAAGCCCCGTCGGCTCCCTGGAGCTAGCTACCCAAAGAGCAGGAAAATAAGGACTGGTCAGGGAGGCGGCCACAGCACATGACTCATGACGAAGATGAGACAACTGGCTGCAACTGCCGACCCAAGGCGACAAAACTGCGAGGGCCCGGCACATTAACCCTTAACCACTGAACAGCGCAATGCGCCTGCAGGCCATCAAATATTTTGATGAAATTTTCATGAATCTGAAGCCAATAAGTTGGAGATTTGTTTAACATTTGTAAGTAATTTTTACATAATTCAAATATTTTTTTAATTATACCCCCCCTTCAATGTCACACATCATATGACGTTTTGCGCAGTTTAAAGGTTAACAAGATAATGGGCAGCCAAGACCCTCTTCGATCTCCAAAACCCCCACTCCCGAATGTCATTCTAAGACATGTTTCCAAAGACAGTAGAAAAAGCTGCGAACTTCCAAACATCACGGGTACGAGGGTAGACCGCAGACTGGCTAGACCTAATAACCCTGCAGACAACCTGAAAGACCCGAGCCCTGGAACAGGGAACGAGGCACAGGTAACGGCGTAAAGCCGGACACAACACATGATGTACCCCGGCATGAGCAACCAAGCATCAATTACCCATGGACCCCTCCGGATAGCCAGCCGTCACATTCTTCGCCAGAAAAGGAGACGGCATGAAGCGAACAAAATATCCACCAAGACCAAAAGAGCAGAAGCTCCTGTGCCGGAGGAGAGCATGAAGCTCCCTGACCCGACCCCCAGAAACCAAAGTCAATAAAAGCCTTTTGAAATCAGTCTTGGACCGAAGGGGCCACCACAAACCCACCACAAACCACCACAAACGAAGAGAAGAGAGAAAGGAGAGCACCCAGTCCAAGGACCAGGACGGCTCAGGAGGTGGATGAGCAGGCTGCAGGTGGAAAAACGCACAAGAAAACTTATGGAACAGAGCAAAAGTGACATCCACCCCGAGCGTAAGTTGGAGTGGCTCTGCTAGCACCGCACGATAGGAGGCGACAATATTAGTAGCAGATGCCAGTCCTGAAAAAGCCAAGAAAAAAGGACAAAACTACACGATCAGAAACCAAAGACAACCTATTAAGAGAAAGGAAATGACAAAAAGAACATAAAGAGACTTCATACTGTCGCCATGAAGAAGACTGCAGGTGGGACACTTTAAGAGAAGTCACCTGATCACCAACCAAGCAAAGATATACACACGTCAGAAATCTCAGACACGTAGAGTGGAAGAGGAGATCGAATCAGCAAGGTACCGTACTAGTCCGATCTGCCGGAAGAGGCGGAGCTGTGGAAAATGCCCCAGATTCAGACACCAAGCAAGCAGCTCCCGAAACCAAGGGGCAAGAAGGAGTTTCCATACTACCCTAATAGTACTCCAGCCGAGCCAGAACCTGGAGCAATAGCTGGACCTGGTAAAAAGAGGCACAAATACCCCAACTTCGACCAGTCCTGTTGAAAAGCACCAACCGCGACAGCCTCGCAGCTGGGGAGGGGTGCCACCGACAGAGAGATGCCACGATAACGCCAACGCGAAGAGGCCCACTACCAGGGACCCGAATATCCGGCAAAGCCAACGGAAGGAGACGGCGTCGAATCGTCCCGGCCGTGGACAGAGGAAAGAACCGAGACAGGCCGACCACCAGGACGTGGACACACCAGATGTGAACTGTACGGAGAGTTTTGAGAGAGCAGAAGAGCCACTCAAATTGACCAGCCCCAAAGAGTCAAGGACTGAAGAGACTCGTTGCTGTTCAGGCAAGGAACCACAGGGGTGCAGCCCGAAACAGCCCGGGGTACAACGGAAAACCCCAAGCTAGCTGAATCCATCGCTTGCGAAGGGCACACCGCTGCAAACACCCATACCCTGCTGTGAGCCTGACAGAGCCCACCACCCCTGGGTGGCTTGGGGAGCACTTTTGCACAAAATCCCAGTCGAAACGACACATCTGCGAACACACCGAGTGAGAGGGTTCTGGAAGATGCCAAGGCCCCGAAACCCAAAGAAACAGCCGGAGACACAGCAACCAACACAAGGCACCCAGAGGACGAACCCAGCGACTATGAGAGCAGTGGAAGGGATGGCCCCAAAGGAACCAGAACAGATGCCGAAGCCAAACCCGACCCAGTAGGGAAACTACCCTGGTGAAGTTTAACTCCAGCACAGCCACTCAAGCAACCACCAAGCGAGCTGAGACTCTCAAAACCGGTTCTCACAGGAAGCATGAGCTGAGAGCCTCCCAACCCCCGCAAAGGCAAACCGAGAGGATGAAAATCTCCCTAGGACGAATCCGAGAACCAAAGAACACCCAGAAACGAGCCCGGGGGGAGCCCTATCTACCATATTTGCCAGTGGAGAAAATGCAAGAGGAATGAACAATCGCCAAGGGACAGGAAAGCTGGAAAAAATGTGGAGCGAGGGTGTTTTGTTTTAAAGGAGTATGTTGTTCACTGGTCGTAACTGCATATCACAGAAGAATGAAGAAAACAAGCCCCATTGCTAACACGGACGAAGTACGAAGAAAATCCGAAGGCTTGGAAGCCGGTCGAGCAGAGCAGGCAAGGAAATCAGTAACATAACAGGTGAATACCAGAAAGGAAAACTAGAAACCTCAGTCTGGGAACCCGAATACCCCAGGGAAGGTAACCCTGAAACCCAAAGGATATATACTTACAGGGCACTTAGGGAGGAGAGCCCTAAGCGCATGCAGCCCTGGGTACTTGACCCCTGGGCAACGCTCCAACGCACAGCAGGCATCACCACTAGGGTCAAAATCCTGACAGGCATCGAGTCCAAAGTAAACATCCGCCCCAGTTGGCTTCAGTCGTCGAACTAGCGGTCCGGAGTTTGGCTCAGTGGGGGTGGATGGTGTTATGACATGTTGCTTGTTATCCTGTCTTCCTTCGAAGAAGTTCCAAGCCTCTGTTTGGCCTCAGGTTGCAATTTTTCTACCAGGAGGGGTCTGTTTTGGGGTGCATAGCTTTCTGGGTGTCCAGCCCCGGTCGATAGCAGACATGAATGTCTGCTATAGTGTTCCCCAGGGCAGCATACTTGGCCCTCTCCTCTTTCTCATCTACATTAATGACCTTCCAAATGCCTCCCAACACCTCAAACCAATTCTATTTGCTGACGACACAACCTTCATTTACTCCAGTCCTGATCCCCTTGCTCTAAATGCCACAGTAAATACTGAGCTAAATAAAGTCCATCTGTGGCTAACTGCCAACAAACTCACCCTTAACATTGACAAAACCTTCTATATTCTGTTTGGCAATAAATCCTCTAATCAAATAAATCTCAAAATAAACAATACCCAAATTTGTAACAAATTAGATGGCAAATTCCTTGGCATTCTCATTGACCACAAGCTTAATTTCCAGGGACACATTCTAAACATATCAAAAAAAGTTTCAAAAACTGTGGGCATTCTTTCTAAGATCAGATATTATGTACCACGCCCTGCCCTGGTGACTCTCTATTACTCCCTTATCTATCCATATCTCAACTATGGTATTTGTGCTTGGGGCTCTACTACCCAAAATCACTTACGTCCTCTAATTACTCAACACAAAGCTGCTATTAGGACAATATCCAATTCTGGCCCCAGACATCACTCGGTACCCCTACTTAAATCTCTGAATATGTTAGACATTAAGTCACTGCACATTCTCTCATGTGTATTATACATATATAAAACGCTAAACTATAATGCCAATCCTGATCTCAAAAGCTTCATAGAAGGTTGTATCAGAACCCATGAGCATCACACCAGAAATAAATACAGTTTTGATATTCCTAGAGTACGTCTTAATCAAACTAGAAATGCTCTACAAATCAAGGGGCCCAGAATGTGGAATGACCTTCCCAACCATGTTAAAGACTGTACCTCTCTCAACCAGTTTAAGTTAAAAGCGAAGCTATACCTAATAAATTCCCTGTAACCTACCTTACCCTTCTATTGTCAACCAATGTCTGTTTTTTTCTTTAAAGAGCGCTGTTTGTCGACATAATTGTATTTGTGCTGCTTTTTCATCTATGTTTTCATTTCTTGTTTTCATTCTACTCATTATGCTCAATTAGTATTAAGCTTGTCATTTAAGTTTATCATGCCCGAAACGCTTTGCGTAATAGTGGCTTTAGGCATTGTATGTACTAGCTCTACCTATAAGTCAAACAATCCTTGTAAATATTTATTGTATGTATGTACCTTACCTAAATAAAATTGTATTGTTGTATTGTATTGTATTGAATATATAGTACTCTCATACAATGGAGTTTCATAGGCCACTGCTCCCTGCACTTCTCTGAGAGGGACCAGGTTCTGGCTCGTGGTCCCCAGTAGGCATGAACTCTGTATGACTGAAGCCCCAGACTAATTTAGTTAATTTCAGTCTGATAGCTCCAGGGAGCCAAGGGGGCTCCCCACAGAAAAGACACACTAAGTGACCAACAACAAGATTAGAACATGAAGCAAAGAAGTCCCAAGGGTAAGGTGCACAGCTGGGAGTATCGTGATCACTGGTTTAAGTCACCTTATTGTTACAATTGATTTTCTCAATGTTCCTTTTACCATCCTAATTTGGCATAAATTCTACTGACCCTACTGAGCTGGTGGCTGAGCGGACAGAACACTGGACACGTGATCCTGTGGTCCCAGGTTCGATCCTGGGTGCCGGCGAGAAACAATGGGCAGAGTTTCTTTCACCCTGATGCCCCTGTTACTTAGCAGTAAATAGGTACCTGGGAGTTAGTCAGCTATCACAGGCTGCTTCCTGGGGGTGGAGGCCTGGCCGAGGACCGGGCCGCGGGGACACTAAAGCCCCGAAATCATCTCAAGATAACTTTTCCCCAGAACGCAACTCCATAACAGTTGACTTAACACCCAGGTACCTACAGTATTTACTGTTAGGTAAGCAGAGGCATTAAGTGAAAGAAAACATACCCAACCATTTTTGTTCCACCAAGAATTCGAACCTGGGATTCCTGATTGCAAGTGGAGAACAAACCCAACTGTGTTATCGAGATCCTTAGTCAAGAAAATTGCACTGAAACCAAAGTGGTGAAAAACTTATGGTATTCCTACTGAGGATACCTAATTAGTAGATAACAAATATATAGACATGTTCTTCAAACTGTATACTTTACACTTATACTTACCACTATTGATTTTTAAGGAATAACTCATTTCTTGTAGATTTTCAATTCCATGGTGCTGTCCTTTATCAGGGAAATCATTGGCCTCATGGGGATTTGTACTCTTATGGAAACATGTACCTTTATGGAAATGCATGTCACCATGAGAATGTCTGTCATCATGGGAATGTCTGTTGTCATGGGAATCTCTGTTGTCATGGAAATGTCGGTCATCATGGGAATATCTGCTGTCATGGAAATGTCTGTCATCATGGGAATGTCTGCTGTCATGGGAATGTCTGTCATCATTGGAATGTTTGCTGTCATGGAAATGTCTGTCACTGTGAGAGGGTATGCTGCCATAGGATTTTGTGTCTTCATGAGGTTTTATATCTTCATGGGGCTGTCTAACTTCACAAGGCTGTTTGGCTTCATAAAGCTCTCTGGTTTCATGGGGCTGTTTAGGTGTATGGAGGTTTCTATCTTTATAGGGCAGTTTAGGTGTATGGAGGTTTCTATCTTCATGGGGCTGTTTAGGTGTATGGAGGTTTCTATCTTCATGGGGCTGTTTAGGTGTATGGAGGTTTCTATCTTTATGGGACTGTTTAGGTGTATGGAGGTTTCTATCTTCATGGGGCTGTATGATTTCATGGGGATGTCTGGTTTCACGGGGCTGTTTAGGTGTATGGAGGTTTCTGTCTTCATGGGGCTGTTTAGGTGTATGGAGGTTTCTATCTTTATGGGGCTGTTTAGGTGTATGGAGGTTTCTATCTTTATGGGGCTGTTTAGGTGTATGGAGGTTTCTATCTTCATGGGGCTGTTTAGGTGTATGAGGGTGAGGCTGTCTGATTTCATGAGGTTGTCTGCCTTCATAAGGTTGTCTGGTTTCATAAGACTGTCTGACTTCATGGAGTTTTCCATCTTCACAGGGCTGTCTAGCTTCATGTGGCTGTCTGACTTCACAAGGTGGTTTGACTTTATTAGGGATGTCTATTTTCATGGGGCTCTCTCTTTGCTCATTGCCATATCTATGTTCGTGAGGACTTCCCATGTCATGGTGACTTTTTTGTTCATGGTAATGTCCACCTTCATAGGAATGTATCTCATTATGAAGCTGTCTTTCTCTACGAGGAAGCTCCATTTCATGGAATTGTTTTTTATCATGGAGATGCCTGTCTTTATGTTGACATACTTCTTTATGAGGATGTCTCCCTTCAGTGGGATATCTCTCATCATCGGAATGTCCCATTGCTTGTGACCAAACCTTCTGCAATATAAAATAAATTAAAATTTAATTTGACGTAGATCATATAGGGTAGAATCATTTGTATCCACCCACTTAAAATTTACTGCTGTTGCCTGTGGAATACAAAATAAAAATTATTACGTTATTAAATGAAACCTACGGTATGAATTAAAAGAAGAGACATTATTCTATCCTAGTGTTTTTTCAACTGGAGTTCCACAAACCTTCCTCAGGTGTTATGCAAGAAAAATACATCAAACAAAAAATATCAATGACACATAAAAATTTATCAGAAAATAAATTGAATATAATTGTATTGTAGTAACATCACATGAGACCAGAAGACATGGCAGGATGTGCAGAATACCCCCGTTGAAAAACAGAGGTGCAACTGGTACTCTGAGAGAGAACTCTATCAACATCAGAGGTCCGAGACTGTTCAACATGCTTCCACTACACATAAGGGGCATAACTGGCTGACCCCTCACAGTGTTCAAGAGAGAACTGGATAACCACCTCCAAAGGATAACTGATCAACCAGGCTGTGACTCAAACGTCAGGCTGCGAGCAGCCGCGTCCAACAGCCTGGTTGATCAGTCCGGCAACCAGGAGGCCTGGTCGACGACCGGGCCGTGGGGACGCTAAGCCCCGGAAGCACCTCAAGGTAACCTCAAGGTAGGTAGTAAAAAAACAGCATTGAATGTAATGAAACGCCATTTTCTGGGTGAGCCCCAGAGGCTCCATGGAGCTATCAGACTGATATGTGTTATATTAGTCTCGGGCATCAGTCAGTTGGAGTTCAACATATCGGGGACCACGAGTCTGAACCTAGTCCCCTCAGAGAGGCACAAGAAGCACTAGCCTATGGAAACCCCCATGTGGTTGGGGCATTCTATGTCTGCCATCGACTGGGGTTAGGCACCCAGAAAGGAAGCCATAACAAAATAAATCCCACTTGGTAAGAAAATTGCAACCAAAGACCAAACAAAGACAGAACTTCCCAACACCCAAGTAAACAAGCAAACGTCATAAACCACCACTGAACCATTTGTCCGTGCAGCCCTTCCCACCCTGGGAGGAGGAGGGGGAAGCCCCAGACCCACTGCACTAGATTCTTACACCTCCAGTTTGGAGGTGTGATGCTACTCTTCTCACAGGTCCAATACTACAGGTACTCACAATGCTACTCTTCTCACAGGTCCAATACTACAGGTACTCACAATGCTACTCTTCTCCAGCTACTCTTCTAACAGGCTGAGTAGGAGTAGCTTGGGGAGTAGAAGAACTCCCAGAACCCCATCAACCAGGTATCAACCAGGTAAGGGGCCCACCAGGATGACTCTCCCATGGTAAGTCTCCCACCGAGCCGGGACCCATGGCTCCGCAGTTGGGAAAGGGCCCTACATATATCGGGAGACGCCAAGCCCATGCCGACACGAAGAGGTGCACCTCCAGGAGCCTGTACATCCAGTAGAGCCAACTAGGTGCATGCAGCCCCAATACTCTTGTGTTACTTCTGGCTTGCAAACCACCAACACAGAACAATACCGCTCTGCAGCACTGCTCAAAGGATGGAACCAGAGTCGATCGACTGCCACCAACACAACAGCCTTCTGAATTGAGGTGGTGTAGCCAGCAAAGGTCTGGGACCCCCCCCCCCCCTCCCAGGGAGGGGGGAGTTGCAGGGACGGCTGCACGGCGGCTGTGATGACGTCATGCTTGTTTACTTGTTTTTGATTGTGGAGTTCTATTTGCTAGTTTTCTTTCGGTTTACAATTTTTTAACCAGCTGTATTTGTTTTGGAATTCCTACCTTTCTGGGTGCCTGATCTGGTAGATGGCAGACATAGACTGCTTTCAATTACATGGACGTGTCTACAGTCCATTGCTCCTCATGCCTCATCTGAGAGGACCAGGTTCTAGTGTTGGTCTCCAGTAGGCCTAGAACTCCATCAATTGACTGTTGCCACGGTCTAATATATGCATATCAAACCGGTATAGCTCCAGGGAGCTAAAGGGGCTCGCCACAGAAAAAGTGACTATCACCCTGAGGCAGGGCACAAAGCAACCTTCTAACTCGCACAAGGCGAGCTGGAACTCAGGAGACACATCCATTGGTCTACTGAATCCCGACGGGGATTTCCAGGGCAGAACTAGTCAATGTAATACTGTACAGTCCATTTGTATTATACATTCCACTTTAATTTTAAAGTAGATTTCTACTACGTCAGGCTGCGAGCAGCCGTGTCCACCAGCCTGGTTGATCAGTCCGGCAACTAGGAAGCCTGGTCGACGACCGGGCCGCGGGGACGCTAAGCCCCGGAAGCACCTCAAGGTAATCTCAAGGTACTAGTAATTAAACAGTACTCAAATAAACTCCTGCTGAATAAAATTCCCCACATAAGGCCAAACAAAGGCCATAAAACCCCAGATGGGCCCAAAGGCAGGGTAAATGCTAAGCAGCAAGAACCCCTACAGAAGTGGAATCCCGAAGGCACTATGGAAAGCAACGCTAGCACCCAAGGGTAGTACTTACTGGGCACTTAGGGAAGGTAGCGTTAAGCGCATGCAGCCCCCAGTACACTGAAGTTACACCTGGCCACCACATCACAAAACAGCAGAGAACACCACTAAGGCAAAACACTGCCAAGAAATCGAGGCCAGAGTTGACAACCGGCCCAGATCACATCAGCCAACGAACTGGAGGTGTGAGCAGCCGGCGCGGGGGTCTGTGGCTCCCTCCTTTTCCTGAGTATGAGTAGCGGCGCGGCAGCGGTTTATGACAGTTTGCTTGTTTCCTTGGGTGTTGGGGGAGTTCTGCCTCTCTGTTCGGTCTTCGATTGCAATTTTTTTACCAAGTGGCCTTTGTTTTGTTATGCCTACCTTTCTGGGTGCCTAACCCTCGTTGATGGCAGACATGGAATGCCCCCAACCACATGGGGGTTTCCATAGGTCATTGCTCCCTTTGCCTCTCTGAGGGGGCCAGGTTCTGGCTCGTCCCCGGTAGTCTGAACTCCAATTGACTGATGCCCCAGACTAATATATCGCATCGGTTCGATAGCTCCAGGGAGCCGACAGGGCTCCCCGCAAGAAACCAGCTTTGAATATAATGAAACACAAGATTCTGGGGGAGTCCCCAAAGGAACCCTGAAGCTATCCTACTGATATAGTGCTATCTTATTTGAGGTCATTAGTCGCAGAGTTCTTGTTGCCTACCGGTGACCACAGCCAGATCCTGCCCCCCCTCCCCCCCGCCCTCAGAGAGATGCAGGGAGCAATGGCCAATGAACACTATATTTAAAGTGTGAACACTTCTGGGGTGTGAGTTTTCAGTTACTATATTTAAAGTATATCATACTTGCCATTGACCAGGAAAGGTACCCAGAAAAGTAGGAGAAACAAAACAGACCACTGTCTGGTTGAACATTGCGACCTACGTTCTCAAAATAGCAAAAGAACTCCCCCAGAAAGAAACACTTTGTCCAACTAGCCCCCATGCTCACTAGGGCCATCCCTCCCAAGTAGGGAGGGTGAGGCCGGCTACCCACTCTCCATCTTTTGAATGATGAAAGCCACCGACCGGAGGGAGGGAGGGAGGGAAGAAAGTCAGGGAGCCTCAGGGGCTCACCCAGAATCTAGCGTTTCATTACATTCAATGCTGGTTTTCTGTGGGAAGCTCCATTGGCTCCCTAAAGCTAACTACCCACAGAGAAGGAAAAACAGGGACTTACCAGAGAGGTGGCAGCACCGCAGGTCTCAATGCGAGGAAGAGACAGATGGCCACAACAGGCATCCCAAAGCAACACAAGGTCACAGAGGACCTGGGACATTCAAGAGATACCTGGTAGCCAGGACCCCGTTCGACCTCCAAAACTCCTGCACCCGAATATCGTCTCAAGACGTATTGCCAAAAACAGCCGAAACAGCGGCATACACTACTTCCTAACATCATGAGCATGAGGGTAGACTACAGGCTGGCTTTACTTAATGACAGTGGACAACCTAAGACACACGTGCCCTGGAAGAGGAAGCCAGGGAACTCGAATCAATCCAGAGCATATCCACTGATACAGAACCAGTGGCCTGCAGGAAGCGGTGCAAAGCCACTAATTGAACACAGCACATGATGCACCTCTGGCTGAACCTTCCAAGCATCCACAATCAACGGAACCCTCCGGAGGTCCGCCATCTCATTCTTCACCAGAAAAGAAGGAGCGGCTGCAAATGAACAAATCGACCACCAGGACCAAACAAACTAGACCCCTTGTGCCGGAGAAGAGCATGAAGATCCCCCAACACAACCCCCTCCCCCAGAGGCAAAGCCAACAAAAACAAAGCTTTCCAGAAACAATCATGAACAGAAGGGACCACCACACACCAAAGTGAAAAAAGAAAGAAAAGAAACTGGTCCAGAAACCAAGAAGGCTCAGGCGGCGCATGAGCAGGCTGGAGGTGAAAAAACGCAAGAGAGAGCACGTGGAACGGGGCGGAAGTGACATCCAACCCAAACACAAGCAGCAGCGGCTCACCCAACGCCGCATGATAAGAAGCGACAGTATTTGGCATGACATGCCAAGCCAGAAAAAGCCAAGAGAGAAAGGACAAAATAACCTTGTCCGACACCGACAGAACTTGACGAAGAGAAAGAAAATGATAGAAAGCTTGTCAAGAAACCTTGTACTGTTGCTGAAAAGAAGACCACAGATGGGACACCATCAAAGAAGCCACCTGATAACCATACAAATAGCAATACACACATTCAGAAAAACCAGTCACGTATAGCAAATGAGAAAGTCGAACCAGTTAGGTACCTCACCGACCCTCATAAAACCAATTACTGTTAGTATTAGATACCCTAGGAGCCTTTATTTTTCCATTGCAGGAAGGACGGGTTTCAATAGTTTGTACTCTAGGATACGGCTTTGAAGCTCGTGTCCTTACATTGCTAAATTTCTTGATCAATTTATATGTTAGCTTGTTTCTTGTTTAGTACTCTCTACCTCATCAAACCTTTGAGCAACCTAACTTATTATTTTGTTACTGTATGCCTGAAAAGCTTTGCATATCAGTGGCCTTATTAAATAAATATATATACTTACTGTACTCTGTAACCAATGTAACATATTCTTCAGTATATTTTTTTAAATAGAAAGTATTATTACGTATTATTACCAAATAAGATTTTTGCTATGGGAGTAAATCTATTACCTCATTATTATATGGTGCTTCTGTAATCTTAACAGCCACTGCTGTCTTTTCTTCGGTAGGCCTACCCTTTGCTTCTTCATTTTGTAAATCTTCAGAATTCCGTTCAACACAATATTTGTAGGATGGTTCATACATCTGATTATAAGTTGTTTCTTTTTCCATCATTGGCTAACTAGAACTAATAAGAGGAAGAATATTAGTAATGTATCATAAATCCTTATTAACTAAATATGTTGATGAAAACATTTTTTATTTTACAAAATTAAAAATAAACAAACTAAAGGCTACAGTAATGTCTCAATTATCCAAATTAATTAAATCTGGTTGTGTCTAGGGCTGCACCGTACTTAATAAAATAAATGTGTATTCAAAAGAATGTGTGTACAGAGAACATAAGAGTAAATATACAATTGTAGGGACAGGAGTTACACAATCTATGAAGCCACTATTATGCAACAAGTCACTATGAAGCCACAGGTTTTGTCTGGAGCTGCACTGTACCCAAAAAAGTCACTACTATCCAGGGTGGCACTGTATACAATAAAGCCAGTTATGTACAGGGTGGCACTGTACACAATAAAGCCAGTTGTGTCCAGGGCTGAACTCTACCCAAGAAAGCCAGTTGTGTCCAGGACTGTACTGTACCAAAGTCAGTTGTGTCCAGGGCTGCACTGTACCCAAGCCAGTCAGTTGTGTCCAGAGCTGCACTGTAACCATATAGCCAGATGTGTCCAGGGCTGCATTGAAACCATAAGGCAAGTTGTGTCTAGGGTTGCACTCTAACCAAGGATTCTAGGGGTCCCCATGCTGCCATATTGTTCACAAGAGATCTCTTGGTAGAATGGATAATTACTCGACCTCCCACTGGAAATGCCTGGGATTCAATTCCCCTTTCAAATTATACTTATAATATACATCTCTGGTGCACCCCCACTTGGATTATTGTATCCAAGCATGGGGACCTCATCTTCAGGTCATGGCAGCTTTGGAGAAAGTTCCACAACGACTAAAATCATTTTTGAACCAAACTCTCTTACTGTGAATGGTTGAAAACTAACAACACTGCTAATCTCATCGAAACCTTTAAAATACTGTACTGAACAATTTGGAGGATGTTCATCCAGACAATTTCTTCAGTAGGTCAGATGTGATACAGACAATGAGTAAAGGTTTCAAGGTCAACAAACCCCAATGTAGGACTGAAAACAGGAGATGCCTTAAAAATTCAAATTTTTATTCAAAAGAATGTGTGTATAAAGAACATCACAAGTCAAGCTTGGCCTCAGGCTGGGCTTGGGGAGTAGAAGAACTCCCAGAACCCCATCCAGGTATAATCCAGTTACATAGAAGTAATATACAATTGTGGGGACAGGAATTTACCTGAATTTACCATTGTTACACAAACTAATGAAGCCACTATTACACAAAACATTTCAGGCAAAACTTTAAATAATTTGGAAAAAACAAATAAGTAAAGGTGTGTAGGAGTAAAGTCTTAATATACTCTTGCATTCACCCACATGGTTATAAACCCATGGAACTATCTACCTGCCAAAGCTGCAAATGCCAAACCTGTTAAAATTTATAATCCAACTGGACAAAAATCATCAGGGCAAATAATAATAATCCATTATGTCAGGGGACAGGAAGCCTGGTTATACATACAGTAAATATTAGTCTTATACCAAGGTACCCCCCTAAACCCCCCTACCCCTAGGGTCAAATTACTGACCCCACCCACGATGCAACCCCCCATAATAAGCTGACTAACTCCTGGGTACCTATTTACTGCTAGGAGGAAAGGGGCATGAGGTGAAAGGACATGCACCCAACCATTTCTGTGCCACCTGGGATTCAAACTCATCACTTTTTTTTTTTGCCAGTCAAGAACGAACCCAACTGAACGAAATGGGGGGATCTTTGACAAGCCGCCGGCTTCCATTCCTCATCGAAGCCACTAGTGTGTTAGTAGCTTTCAAGTAAATTCAGGTAAATAAATAATTTGTGCATAACTATTTGAGGGTAAGCCTGTAGCAGACAGGCAGAAGCCATCATCTAGGTATGGGTCCCCAAATTCCCATTATCTGGGTAAGGGGCCCCAGTGCCCAGCCTACCGAAAGGGGCCCTAATGCCCATTATCTGGGTATAGGGAATTAGTGGTCATCTTCTGGGTAGGAGGCCCCAGTGCCCATCATCTGGGTAAGCGACCCCTAGTGCCCATCATCTGGGTAAGAGGTCCCCAGTGCCCATCATCTGGGTAAGTGACCCCCAATGCCCATCATCTGGGTAAGGGGACCCCCAGTGCCCATCATCTGGGTAAGGGGACCCCCAGTGCCCATCATCTGGGTAAGGGGACCCCCAGTGCCCATCATCTGGCTAAGTGACCCCCAGTGCTCATCATCTGGCTAAGTGACCCCCAGTGCCCATCATCTGGGTAAGTAGCCCCCAGTGCCCATCATCTGGCTAAGTGACCCCCCCAGTACCCATCATCTGGATAAGTGACCCCCCCAGTACCCATCATCTGAGTAAGTGAACGCCCAGTGCCCATCATCTGGGTAAGTGGCCCTCAGTGCCCATCATCTGGCTAAGTGACCCCCAGTGCCCATCATCTGGGTAAGTAGCCCCCAGTGCCCATCATCTGGCTAAGTGACCCCCCCAGTACCCATCATCTGGATAAGTGACCCCCCCAGTACCCATCATCTGGGTAAGTGACCGCCCAGTGCCCATCATCTGGGTAAGTGGCCCTCAGTGCCCATCATCTGGCTAAGTGACCCCCAGTGCCCATCATCTGGGTAAGTGGCCCTCAGTGCCCATCATCTGGCTAAGTGACCCCCAGTGCCCATCATCTGGGTAAGTGACCCCCAGTGCCCATCATCTGGCTAAGTGACCCCCAGTGCCCATCATCTGGCTAAGTGACCCCCAGTGCCCATCATCTGGCTAAGTGACCCCCAGTGCCCATCATCTGGCTAAGTGACCCCCAGTGCCCATCATCTGGCTAAGTGACCCCCCCCAGTACCCATCATCTGGCTAAGTGACCGCCCAGTGCCCATCATCTGGGTAAGTGACCCTCAGTGCTCATTATCTGGGTAAGTGACCCCCAGTGCCCATCATCTGGCTAAGTGACCCCCCCAGTACCCATCATCTGGCTAAGTGACCGCCCAGTACCCATCATCTGGCTAAGTGACCCCCAGTGCCCATCATCTAGGTAAGTGACCCCCAGTGCCCATCATCTGGCTAAGTGACCGCCCAGTGCCCATCATCTAGGTAAGTGACCCCCAGTGCCCATCATCTGGCTAAGTGACCCCCAGTGCTCATCATCTGGCTAAGTGACCCCCAGTGCCCATCATCTGGCTAAGTGACCCCCAGTGCCCATCATCTGGCTAAGTGACCCCCAGTGCCCATCATCTGGCTAAGTGACCCCCCCAGTACCCATCATCTGGCTAAGTGACCGCCCAGTGCCCATCATCTGGGTAAGTGACCCTCAGTGCTCATTATCTGGGTAAGTGACCCCCAGTGCCCATCATCTGGCTAAGTGACCCCCCCAGTACCCATCATCTGGCTAAGTGACCGCCCAGTGCCCATCATCTAGGTAAGTGACCCCCAGTGCCCATCATCTGGCTAAGTGACCCCCAGTGCTCATTATCTGGCTAAGTGACCCCCCAGTGCCCATCATCTGGGTAAGTGACCCCCAGTGCCCATCATCTGGCTAAGTGACCCCCAGTGCCCATCATCTGGGTAAGTGACCCCCAGTGCCCATCATCTGGCTAAGTGACCCCCAGTGCTCATTATCTGGGTAAGTGACCCCCAGTGCTCATCATCTGGGTAAGTGACCCCCAGTGCCCATCATCTGGGTAGTGTATAAGTATGTATGTATACGTCTGGTAACACATTACACGCGTAAAGGAAGAAATGTATACATTTATCACTCAAGAATATTCGGTAATATGTTTATAGCTTGTGATGTGTGTCTATACACGTATGAACACGTTGTACTGAACGGGGCGAGGATAGCTTGAGCTACCTCATCCCTCTGAAATAAGTTTATTGAGGTAAAATACACACAATTTCAATTCAAATTTGGGTAGAGGCCCCCAGGGTCAAGATGGCCCTGGGCCTGAAACGTCCTCTAACAAAAGTGGAGCTAATGTGGCTCCTGGTCCCTTTTTTGACTCCCACTCGGGAATCCCGGGCGGGAGGGAGATAGTTGGGAGTGTGGCTCATCACGTGGCAGTAGACAGGACACAGGTACAGGTATATTTACCTGAAGAAGAGGGCAAGGCGAGGCGTGACTCCCCCCAGCAGCGGCCACCTCACTACACCTGGTACACGCACAAGGCCATCGTCCTAACTCTCCACCTAATTACTACCACACCACCAATTATACACGTTTAAAACACAAAACAAGTGTATTAGTATATGGATATACAGAGTCGTGGATTTAATAATATATGTACGTACAGTATATATAAGTAATTGAAGAATTATAAAGATGTATAGCAAGTTGAAGAGACTAAGGAGGCGCCCGAGCAGCACCTTCTGCAAGACCCGAGACTTCTTAATACACCTGTAGTCTTTTTTTTTGTAATCATTATTTACTTATTAACATGTGCTACATAGCCTTCCGGGCTTGGTGCCTTCTTTTAATAATTACCGTACTTATTATTAACATGAGGTAAATCCGATGAATGCTTAGGTACCTCCAGCAATGTGCTGCTCTGTATGAAGGATTACACTATAGATCAAAAGCTGGCTTCCTAGTGTCTTCGTATTATAGTGGCCCCTCAGGTTAATTCAGGTGAAAGCTAGGAGTTCGTCTAGTATCTCCATCTCAAGGGGCCTTAACGAGGACAGGAAGCCAGCGGCTTATCGAAGGTCCTCCCCATTCGTCCTGATTTTATCCAAGATGGATTTTGAATTACAAAGATGTATATCGCCCGAAACGCTGTGCGTATTAGTGGCTTCAGGCATTATATGTACTGTACAGTACTAGCTCTTTCTAGAAATCCAATATTATGTTTGTAATCTTGTATGCATGTCCTTTTACCCGAATAAACATTTGATTTGATTTGATACAGCAATGTTTTGGCATTTATTGCTTCTGCGGGTAGGCTGTTTCCCTGGGATTACCTGAGGGCCATTATATCTATAGTGGCCTTGACAAGGACAGGAAGAGTGCGGCTTGTTAGGTCTCCCATTTGTCTTAATGATTGCACTGAGCTGTATCTTGCAATTCAGCAGCGATTACGCATTTTCGACTTAAGCGTATACGCAGTTGTGTGTGTTTATAACCCTATGGATGAAATCTCGCTTCCCTATACTAAGAGAGGTACCCAGTTTGTGCCTAAAATAGTTTCTCTTCCCCTACCACCCCTCTTTTTTTTCCCCTTATCCACCACTTGGACTGGACGGTAGAGCGACGGTCTCGCTTCATGAAAGTCGGCGTCCAAGGGGTTGGCTTACCATTCCCCCCCCCCCCCCGTACCATTCCAAGTGCTATATAGTAGTAATGGCTTGGCGCTTTTCCATGATAATTCCACCCCTTTCCTGCTTCCCCTCTCATTTTTTTTTATTTATTTACTTATATACATACAACATGGTACATTCGGTTGTGAGAGTACATAACATTTGTGCTTGAGCATTACATTCTTGCAAAGCCACGCAGCATTTTGGGCAGGTCTTTAAACTATCATCTCCCCTTCCCCTCTCACATCTCCCTCCTGTCCCCCCTCTCCCCTTCAACCTGGAATGGATAGACATTTATATTTATGAACTCGTCCTCTGACCAAAAACATTACCATGAGAAACCACACCCCCCTCAAACCAACTGGATAGTTATCTAGATATTTGTGATGGTCTGAAAGCATATTACAGTTCCAGTAATAATCTACTTGTAACTGGCAAGTGAACCGTTGTCCTAAACAGAGAATATTCTGAAGTTATAACTTTATTGTATAAATAAATATTTGGTTTAATACATAGTCTATTGAACAAATCCACAAGGGTCGTGATGAGGGTTCGAACCTATGCCCGGGATGATCCAAGATGCACCTTAGTCGACTATGCCATGACATAGTTCAAAGAATTGCAACCTGGAATGCTACTGACCTCACAAGGATCCCGCAGCTTCTCTGAAGCACAGACCGGGATCCTTGTGAAGGCAGTAGCACTCCAGGTTGCAATTCTTTTAACTATGTCATGGCATAGTAGACTAAGTTGCGTTTGGGATCATCCCGGGAATAGGTTCGAACCCTCATCATGGCCCTTGTGGATTTGTTCATTTGATGCATCACACCATTGTGATTTGTGAGTGTAATATAGTACATGTTTAACTTATCTTGTTTGAAGCTGTCTGAAGAATTTGTCTGTAAATGAAATTCTAGGGGATACTCAAATAGTTTTGGAATTTCACATTTCACATTTGAGAATAATACATCATATCAACATAACCAAATGTCATGAAACGTAATGTAATGTAACCTTAACCTAACATAACCATGGATAGAAAGCAGATAATAGCACTAATTACGCAGTAATTTTGAAGTGATTACCTCCTCCCTGAGGACAACTGCATATAGATGAGAGTAAAAGCATCTTCCGTTTTCTATCCTACAGTGTGGCTTGTTAAGCTTGAAGCCATTCCCAAATTTCATGAAAATTTCTTTAGTAACAAGTGTCTACCTCATCAAACCTTTAAACAACCCAATTTAATTATTTTGAATTATGCCTGAAACATTGTATATTATTGACCATATTAAATATACATTCTTTTTTAACAATAATTTAAGCACTATCATTTTTGTATATTTTTTCATATTTTAGTTTGCTAACTGTAGGTAGTAACTGTGGGTGATTGTAACTGTAGCGAGTATATTATGTAAATAATATACTCCCTCCAAACTCTCATTAGCTTAATGAGATTAACACAAACTCTCATCAGCACTAATGACAAAACTCATACCTCTTCCCCAATTAGTTAACATTCCTTCAAACCTATTGGAGGACGATGAGGTGAGGTGTGGTCCAATAACACGTACAGTACAGTACTGTATAAGCAATCAAGAAATGAGTAATCATTTTATGGGCTATTCATACCCGTGCCATCTCTTGGGTGGCTTAATCTTCATCAATCAGTCAAGTAATCATCAGTATAATTTCAACAATGGTTCAGTTCTCACAGTCTCCGTGGTGTAGTGGTAAGACACTCGCCTGGCGTTCCGCGAGCGCTATGTCATGGGTTCGTATCCTGGCCGGGGAGGATTTACTGGGCGCAATTCCTTAACTGTTGCCTCTGTTTAACGCAACGGTAAAATGTGTACTTGGATGAAAAAACGATTCTTCGCGGCAGGGGATCGTATTCCAGGGACCTGCCCGAAACGCTACGCGTACTAGTGACTGTACAAGAATGTAACAACTCTTGTATATATCTCAAAAAAAAAAAAAAAAAAAAAAAAAAAAAAAAAGTTAACTTTAGTACAAATGCTCGAGTTACCCCACACCTTCAACCTCAAGAATGTAGCACTCAAATGTATTCTGTTCCAACCGACCCTAAGACACTTCAGCTTTGACACAGAGCAGACAGCCAGACTTCGACCTATTTCGAGCTTTCATGCTCTTGTTCCCCATCGAGCTCCCAAGCTCTCAGCCTCATCAAGTTTCAGCGCTCTCGTCCGCATTGAACTCCGCGACTCTAGTCACACTCGGCTCTCTGTGCTGCTAGAGGGTCCGTCTCAACATCTACGACACTGCCAACAATCGACTGCTGTAACTAAGACTACTAAATAAACATGAAAACCCACTAAACACTGTGTATCTAATCTACCCAACAATGTAACAATCATATGTCACATAACCTTTCCACCACTGCCCACTGTAAGGGGCAGTACGCAGGCTAATCATATCAATTATGACACTAGCTCTCCACATGTCATTTGCTTAATTTAGAGACTGTACATGTGGTTGGGCTCGAGCCCACTGTTTGTGATGATGTGCATTGAATTCTGTAACTTACTCATCAAGACTAACTTGCTTAGTTCATGAATTGTGGGGTTCAGTCCCTGAGCCCATTATGTGCCACTGTAACCCTTTCCACTACTGCCCACATATTGGGTATGGGGTACATAATAAATGAACTAAACTAAACTTACATAAGCTATTACTGAGTATGTGTACTCAAAATTATCAAAAGTTTTAGCCAAATCTCTCTTTAAACAACCAAGGGAAAGCCGTGTGTGCTGTCTTTTTGGAGTGATGCTACTAGTACTTGCATTATACATAAAAAACAAATTGACCAGTAAAAAGTGGGAAGTGAAAATGATATTGAGACCATACAGATATACATAAACTCCACAAATGGCCATAAGACTGACAAATAATTTTTAATATCTTAAAGTGCAAGACCTTACATGCGGGACATAACAATCCATGTCACAACTACAAAATTAACATTACCTTGCAGTAGATTGATGAAGAAAAGGACCTTGGAGTCAGAATCCAACATTCACTGAAAGTTGCACAAGAGGGCGTACCGGGATGACCCAACCCAACTCTGTATAATATTTCTAGTTATTCGTCTATGCACAATTGTAGACTGTTACAAAAGATATGAGTGGGACTCTATGGGGTACTGGTACTATTAAGGGGTATAGGTAGTTAGAAGACAGGAGTATCAAATATGGGAGAGCTAAAAGGCCCGGCCCCCAAAATAAACTATCCACAGTAGTAATAACTTGCTACAAGACCAAATATGTTAGTCTAAGGGTTGATCACTGCGCTCCCACCTTGGAAGAAGAGATACTCTGTAATTCATGTACTTATTTATTAACCCGTTAACAACCCCCCATATACACTCACACCAATAACAATAATAATAATAACTTTACCACACTATCTTACGTTAAAAGCCTTGGTCCACGTAGGCAGGATACAAGGTTCACACTAATAACAAGCTAGGGTAAAGTACTACTGGATAAGCACTTAAGCTGGATGCAGCTTAGGGTAGTGAAACCACGTGGGACCCTAATACAAAACACAACACTTAGGGGTACCCAAACACTGGCAAAATACTATCCCCAGGTCTCCCCAATCGTTACTACCAGAGTAGGCACACTTACACCATATAATACTTAACTTAAGGGTACAGGAACTTCAGGTAAGGGAAATAAGTAAGAGGAGAAGGAAGGAGAGTAGGGATACAGCCACAGAGTAGGTCTTAACCTCACGCCACCAGCCAAGAGAAGCCCGAGCTAGCCACCAGCTGCCTCCCTCATGTTGTGGTGCCGGGAGGAGCCTAATTGATCGTGCAGCTAAGCACATTAAAGATCTTCCCCTATGAAACGTATTGTTACTTTATGAATGATTAGAAAGTATTAGTAAGCAAAGTTGGTGCCTATGTTATTATTTAATAATCAACCCCCAGCTCAGTCTTTAAATGCTCTTTGAGAAACAATAATAGTCTTACGTCTGGCAGGGAAGATACA